CCCCCTCGGCGCGACGTCACCACCCGCGCGGCCCCGGCCGGCCTTATAAATAACTTCGCCTCCTCCGCCTTCTTCGCCTTCCCCTCACGGCGCCAGCCTCGCCCCACTGCGCACGCGCGGCGCACGCGCAGGACGGGCCCCGGCGCCTTCCCTCCGAGAGGCCGAGCTGCTACGACGACGGAGAACGCCTTCGCAGCGAGACGGGACCACCACCCCCCTCTGCGCATGCGTCGGAAGGCTCCCTTTCCCCCTCCCAACCTCATTTCATCATAGATATTGAAGGCTTAGAGCGGCCGCACATCCGGGTAATGCGGATGCCTGGTTGGACCCTCCCATCCCCTCGCCAGGGACTTTTGGACTGTTTTTTTGCTTTCACGGCTTTCAAAGTCATACTTTTTGTCTTGCCCGCCCACGGCCGTAGAAAAAGCAATCCGTAATAATAATAAAGGAGGGTGAACAAGAGTCATATAAGGGAACTTCCGGTTTGCAACGGAGTGGAGGAAGCTAGAGCGGCTCCCTCGCCCGTTATGTAACTGACATTTCCATAGGGCTGCGTGCGAAGGGAAAACCGGAAGTGAGCGTTGCCAGCCGAACGCTTGGAAGGACGGGCAACGCCGCTCGGGGCGCATGCGCGAAGCACCCGCGCGACCGTCCTGTTTATCGTAACGACGAAGTTGTACGCATGCGCATAGGTGACTGGGGCGGGGCTTACCCCCCTAAGAGAGGCATTGCGAGTACGTACTAATGTTTGAGGTTCGACCGAGGGGGCGGGGCTAGCTCTTCAGCGGCCCGCCTTCCTCGTTGCTCTGCCTCAGCGTGGATTGGCACTCCCGCTCCCCGTAAGGCGGGGCCAATTGAAAAACCTGCCCGCTGATTCGCCAACCTGAAACAGGGCGCTTGGAAAGATTGACAGTTGGGTGCCTGAGAAGCGCCTGACAGTTGAACTTTTCCATCTGTATCAGGTCCCAAAAAATTCTTCACACGCTAGAAATTACTCTAACAATTTATGAGGAAATTGATTTCCTCATAAGGCAGATTTTTAGAGGGCATTGCCTCTTTTTTTGGACTACAACTCCCAGAAGCACCTACAGAGACACCTAGGGGATTCTGGGACTTGTAGTCTAAAACGCAACGTGGCGCAGATGTGTTCCCTAAACATGATAGCTTTGCTTCCTTTTGGGGATATGGCCCATGTGGCTGCACTGCCTCCTGGGGCAAATAGGGTTTGCCACTGGTGCATCATGGGACAGAATCTCCTCTAATTCACTCCCTTCTGTTGTCAAATCAAAATAAATACATTTAATAAATGTGTGTGATGAAATGCAGTACAGGGAAAGGGAAACAGGCTGCTCTGGGCTGTTTCCAAAAGGCCTTTTTGGTTGCTTGATGTTTTTTTTTTTGCTTAATTAACGCTTCCAGAGTGATACAGAAAAAGCTGGCCTTAAATAAAAGGCACTTGCCCATAATCATACAAAGGGTGCCCGTTATGTGTTACGTCAAGTCGCTTCTGACTTCCAGGGTGACCCTCTGAATCAAGGATATTCCAGAGGTCCTACAGCTCTGCTCAGGTCTTGCAAAGCTGACCCCATGGCCTCCTTTATTGAGTCCTACTGAAACAAACCAGTGCTTTTTCAGTCCCGTTATTTGCTCCTCCAGCCTCCCACCACGGCCTTTCTATCTCCCTGAGGTAAAAAGCTGGCACATGAACTAGTTAGAAGCAAGCTCTCCACACATCCTCCATTATACATGAGAGAAAAGACAGGGTATTCCAGGCTGTGATTTTGAATATCTTTCTCAGCTGGAAGCTTAGGGTCACGGAGAGATCCCCCCCCTTTTTTTTGGAGCGTCACCCTGCAAATATTTATGGGGAAGTCGTTTTTTTACATTAAAATTAACTGAAATGACCATGCTTTGAACTGGAGAGCTAGTTTCTCTCATGCATAAGGAATGTTTATTTCGGAAAACAAAACAAAACAAAAAATTTCTCTAGAGGAAAAAGAATAGGAAAACCATCCAGGAAATCCACCCCAGCGTTCTGTCCTAGTTTCTGCTTACTCTTTGGGTTCCTGTGTCCTTAAAACAGGAAACTCCAGAAATAAGTGGCTACTGCCAGGTCTTCCCCGAACTCTGGGCAACGTCCTCTCCTTCCCAGCCTTTCAAGTCAACAAATTAAATGACGAATCATCTTATTTACAGAGTTTTCTCTGCTTATTGCTTCAATACCTCTCTCCCCCTTTGTGTGTGTGTTTTCTTTGAAGGTTTCTCTAGAAAAATCTACATTTCTTCTGCTCTGTTCTGGTTAAAGCTATAGATATAGCTTAGAGAGAGCTAAAAGAAATAGTTGTTTTTGAGGGGTTTTTTTTGGGGGGGGGGCATCTATTTCACTTGTTACCAGAGACCTCCAAAACTGAGTTTGACTGGAATGTGAAGCTAGAAAGAAGAGCATATAAATGTCAACCCAAATGATGTCCGTAGGCCATTAAAGGGCCCTTTTAATTTTCCAGATGTTATGTATGAAAAAAAATATATACCAGCCCTCCAGAAAGCCACCATGAAGGTCAAAATATCTGTGCAGGTCGCTGTCCTTTCCTCTGGGGCGATGGCACAAACACCAGTGCTTTTTGAAGAGAAACCGATTGCTTTTATACAAAAATAAAGAGCTACTTCACAAGGGAAGCAATATCCTGACAAGAGGACTAACTGCATTGTTAAAAAAAAAAGAACTCGTGGATAACTTTACAAATTATTTGTGCATATAAACAGCCACAAGCTGGGGAAAAAACAAGGGATGATTCAGAGTCACAGTTTGTTTCCACAGACATCTGGCTGACAGCTGTTGGGCAAGCGAAGTAGATCCAGAAATGGAGTCTTGCTCTGACATAACCAGAGATCGGGAAATTGTTTTCCAAAACAATTCTCCAAATTCCCCTTAGCCAGCTTGGCTAGTAGTTCTGCCACCGACTCTTGAGCAAAAATCTGAAGTTTGGAGGACAACTGCATTTTTCAAGGACAGACTTATGTCTGTGCCTCATCAGGTTTGGAAAGCAACTTTTCTTTCAGGTGGCACTTCCATTCATTTCCTCCAGCGCAGGGAGTGCCGTATCGGTTTCCCCATTTTGATGGAGCCAGACACTTCGCTGTGAGCGCCTGAGAAGCGGACAGGGTTTGCTCCGACCGCAGCACCCTCTTCCAGCACAGGAGGGGACCCATGCGTACAGGATCCTCACCTTCAGCTGACAGAGCCCTCTGGCTCAATTGTGTTGCATTACGTGGCATCAAGTCGCATCCAACTGATAGCGGCCCTGATTGGGCTTTCAAGGTATGGGAGATATTTGAGGAGTGGTTTTGCCACTGCCATATATGCCTTGGTGAGTTGCCATGGGCAAGTGGGGATTTGAACCCAGGTCTCCTCAGTCCTAGTCCATCACTCAGCCCATAACATCACACAGGATACCACTGGCTTAACTCTGCTTCATATAATGCATAGAAGTCTATCTGTCTGCTTTTGCTTTGTCATCAGAACATCCGTACTAGACTCGTGGCTCCAGTTTGATGATGATAACATCATCTTCTCTTGCTCAGACCAATGACTTTGGGGAACCTTGGGGGTCTGCATCTGGATGCTGCCACCCACAGTAACCAAACCTTGAGAGGAAGCTAGTAAAAATTCAGTAGATCAGCAACACCGATGATGCAGTTCAGTTGCTCCATTTCTGTGCCTCTTTCTATGTTTCTGTTCCCAGGGTCTTCCAAAGCTGGCATGGGTTGGCACTGTTAAATATCTGCCAAAGCCTACAACCCAGCAAACCATCCTTTTCTGCTTTCTTTGCCTGTGCCTGCAAGCCCAGGAACAACAACAACCCAAAGCAGAAGGAGAAGCAGGTTGAACTTCTCTCCCCCCCCCCCAGTCATTTTGGGCCGTGGTGCCCATCAGGAAGGGAGAAAGCAAAAATGGCAGAGCTGACAACAGCTGAAGCAGGTTCCTGTGTTGCATTGAGTGGGTTCGCAATCTAAGACATCACAGGAACTGGCCACTAAACCCCAGCATCCCAGTTGTTGTCTAGCTTGACCAATGTCTGAATCCCCTGCAGTGAACTGAGCCAAGCACGGGCTGTGTGTCTGTTAAAAATAGTTATGTGTGCCCTCCTTTTTTTGTGTGATTTTGAGTAAAATTCTCAGGAGAATTGGAGGGACATGGTTAAGTCTGTTCACAGCAATGTGATCTCACTAGGCGGAAGTGTGAGCCGCTTTTCCCGGGCGTGAAGTAAGTTCTCCATGTGTGTGGCAATGACTCGGCACAGCTCCAAGCCCTGCAGAGAGAGGGAGGTTAAAAAGGAAGATGTGTTCAAAACGGGTTCGTTTTCTACCTTAAACCTATTATCCTGGTTCCACCCAAGCAGGCATTAGGAGGGACCATGTGATTGTCGAATGTGAAGCATTTGCCTGTCCTCTCAGTGGTGTTTCCTGGCTATCTCCCGAGGAACGTAGAAACCCAGACTGAGACGAGGATCGCCCTCCTCATCTCCCATGTTTTTTGCAAATCCCAGTCTGACAAGGACTTCATGAAAGGCCTGAAAACTCACCTCTTTTGTGACATTTTGGGGGCCTCAAAGGTGGGATTGTTTTCTTTCACTTGTGGACCATGTAGCTAAGAGCCAAAGGGTATGTTACAATTGGCCATGAGAGGCAGGAAGTCCATTAGGAGCTGATTCAGGTGGGGCGTTGTCACTGAGCACTCCGACTTGCAAATGAAGTTTGTGTTTACCTTCCCAACGACCAATCGCAAAACAAAGCATGCTAATGGGCAAACTGGGAGGTGAGATAAGCTCCTCTGGTGACAATCAGAGGTTCTCAGCACTTGAAGAATTCCTTCTTCTAATAACAAGTTATCTGTAATGTTTAGTTTGGTCTTTGGTTTCTTTTTTTTTAAATTTGTCATGACCAAGAGAACTGAACTATCTCCGGAAAATCCACTTTATATAATCTCTCCTCTACCCTAATCTTATGAGGTGTCCTTAGGCACCATGTACTATGCTCAGCTTCCAAACCTTCCCACTCCCCCTCTGAAATAAAGGAACAAAATTCACCTACCTTACAGGGTTGTGGTAAAGATTACAAGACAACTGGAGTATATTAAGAGCTTTGAACATTTGCAAATGTGATAGGCTAGTATTTTATTAGTGCATAATAATTTTTAATACGATGAATATTTTGTTATTATGCCAGTTGCAAGCTACCTACCATCTGAAGGTTAAGCTTCACAGAGCCAGTGGGGCAGGGAGACAGAAGGAGGGACAGAGAGAGACAGGAAAAAGAGGAGAGGAGAATGAGATGAGTCGAGCGTCACCAAATATTTTCAACAAACTCTAAATATCACACATCGAAACAAGAAAAAGCATGCTACATTCTGGGCTTGCCAGTTAATACAAAGCCTTGCAACCCTGCTCTGACAGACAGGTGGCATCAATACCAAAGCAAAGTACGTACTGGTTGCACGACCAAATAGAACATTGCATGATTTCTGTCAGATAAGATACACTGGTTTTTAGATTGCAAAATTTAAGGCCAAGGTCCGTTCAATCAGGTTTCCATGAAGATGTTGGAAATCTGAACGTTAAAAGAGAAGGGTCTTCAACCGCTCCCCTGGGTATTTGAGCAGGTTTGCTAGTCTTTTTCACAGACCTCCAGATTCCTGTGGAAATTCCACCCATCAGGCAAAACCACCCGGGAGTTTCGCCTTACTCATTTGGCGGGTATTGGAGGAAGCTGGCTAATCTTGCCAAATCAGCTCTAGCTACTCCCAAAAATGTTTTTTTTTTGTCCTGAGTAAACAGACTTAATCCCAATCCAAACTTAGATATAAGTGACGTCCCTGCACTAGCCCTCCCTGCTTCGACACATCGCACCTCCCGGGCTTTGGCAAGACGTCGCCCTTTTCCCTTGTACCTGCTCCAGCTGCAGCTGGGTGATCCTTTGGGACATCAGATCTCCCAACATGATCTCCACGTACGGGTAGCTGGATCCAGCCGAGGGGCGCTGGGTGCGTGTAGACTGGATCTCTTTCAGTGAGAAAGTCACGATGGGTTCCTGGAGGTGGGGGGGGGAGAAGAACTTCCTTAGAGCTTGGTGGAGAATCATGCACACCACTGGCCCTCTCTAGCCATGCACTACAGTGGTGATGGTAGTGGTGCCCCCCCCCCAAATGGTGAATCGTCACGCCTCATCTAGAAATTAGCATGCGCCAATAAGGGAGGAGGTCCCAGGCCGAACACGACAACACCTACATGGGTTTCCTTGTTGAGGAAGTTGAGTCCGTTCTGGTTCACCGCCAAGATGCAGGGCGAGAGGATGATGTTATTGCTGCAACTCTGGATGTAGAAAAAGGATGAGCCGAACATAGGGAACGCACTCAAGAGCCCTACAAAGGAGCGGGGAGTTGGGAGGGAAGGGAGAGATCAGCGGACCATCGGGACCACCTTCAAGAAGAACGACCGAGGGCAGCTTTCATCTGAGTTACGCGGACAGACAGAGATGAGTTTTGCTCCCTCTTTTTCATCCATAAAGCCTGTGAAATCTTTTCCTCTCCATGTCTTTCTAAGTAACTTCTTTTTTATATGTAGAATACAACTCTTAGGCTTCCTTCCTTCCCGCTTCTTCCTTTTCCCTATAAGAGGCAGCCACAATTCTCACAATAGCTGCAGGCACCCTTTCTCTCTCTCTCTCTCTTTCTTTTTGCTAGAAATCATGCGATGCTAGTTTCTTTCTCAATTCTCCAGCTATGGTTTCTTTTGTTTAACAGGCATGAGGTCAGTACGAAAGACGTGCCACTTTTGCTAGTACAACACAACAGAACATCCCGGGATTTATAGCGCGAGATCTTACCTAAGAACTGAGCCCGCGCTTGGTGGGCACTCAGAGCTTGCGCCTGTTGGAGGTGGTTCGTGACCATGTCCAGCCACGCCTGGGCATTCTGGAGGCGAAAGAACTGCGGTGGGATGTAGTCCTGAACTTCCCGTCTTAGAGAAGAGAAGGAAAACACAAAGAGAGAAACTACAGACAACTGGGGAGACAGGGAGACGTGTCTGCGGCCCAGTTTGGAAAAGTTATTTTGGGGAGGACCACCGTTCCCAGAATTCCACACGGAAGGTGACCATCCCTGTTTCCCAGAACACAGCCCGGCAGGTATAGATGTAACGTGGACGCCCTTAGAGCTTTGGAAGTTTCCCATTTTTGGACTGGAAAGAACAAAGGCACTGGTGGGACTCCGAAGACTATGGGTGTGATCACGTGGGGAAACAGATTGCAGTTTAGACCCCTGGTGGCGCAGTCCAGTGGGGTATGTTTCCCAACAATCACACACTGCATTGAGCTCCAGCCTGACCCTGATTTGTGTAAAAGCTTTCCTACGCTCTGGACATCTCCGGGGGCAACCATGGACCCACCAGTCTGGGGATCATCTTAAACATCTGGAGAGATCAAATGGTGTGCCATCACATAAACACACTCCCAGTGCCCACTTATCATACACAATAGGATCCCTGTATCGGCCAGATCAGTATCCGTGATTTCACTTACCCGTAGTCATAAAATATTTAAAAAATTAGATGAAAAACCCCTGAAATATGCATTTCCACTGATGTGGTTACCAGACCTTGCCACAAGAGGGAGACAGAGACCATGCGATCGATAGGGTCCACTATTACAGTGGTGCCTCACTTGACGACGATAATCCGTTCCAGGAAAATCGCTGTACAACAAAATCATCGTCAAGCAAAAGTAAAAAACCCATTTGAATGCATTAAAAACCAGTTAATGCGTTCTAATGGGTGAAATACCTCATCGTCCAGCGAAGATTCTCCATAGGGCGGCCATTTTCTGGTGCTTGTAAAGCAAAAAAGCCCTCCTAAACACAGCGGGGAGCCATTTTGCACAGCAGGTGGCCATTTTGAAACTCGACAATCAGCTGTTTTCTGATCGTCGTTAAGCGAAAAATCGGTTCCTGAAGCAGGGAACTGATCACTGTCAAGCGAAAAAAGCCGTTTGAAACATCGCAAATAGCGATTGCAAAAATATCGTCATGAAGCGATTTCGTTGTCTAATGAGGTAATCGTCAAGCGGGGCACCACTGTATGTACTTTCTCAGCACTGCTTCTAAGGAGCTGTGGCCCAATCCTGCTTGCAGGTGGAATAACGCTGTCCGGGCATCCCTACATCCCAAAGCCACCTACAGAGTTGGCAGGTAGACGCTGTCTTTCGCTCGGTGCTGTAGGGCGGCCAGCTTAGAGACTTGCTGGAACTGTTGCCCGCCAGGCTTCAACGGAGGGAGGGTGTTGAAAAGACCCTTCCGATAATCGGGCAGCACCTGGTTGAGAGACAAGAGCGACGATTAGTTCGCCTTTCCTTACGTTCCCCGCCGAGTAGACCACGTTGAAGGCTGACACCCGACTCTCTGGACCACAGAGATTCCCTGGTCGCTAAAACCGTGGCCGTGTTCATACATGGCGTGATTCAGACAAGAAATCAAACCTCGCCCTATGACAATCTGATGCGATTTAGACAGTTTTACTGCACACGTGTTTTTCTTTTTTATAGGCACAAATGCATAGAGGCTGAGCGTATGGCATGTATTGTAAATTCTTTCGTCCGTTTCCAATCCAGTTGTTTTTACTTAGTTTTTGGATTGCAGTACACTGTTGACTGGCTAACAAGAGTGATCCGTAACACATGGAGCAATCCACCCTGCTGGGGATGATGGGGGTTGTAGTCCCACCTGTCTGATAGACACCAAACGGCACAAGGAAGCGTAGCTAAGGTAAAAAATATCTGGCTGCTCTTTAAAAAAAAACCTGCCACCCCCCCGAAACCCCAAAGAAACGGGTTATTATGGGGTGGATTAAAGCCTTCCTTCCTCCTAGTTTACCCGGGCCCCCTTTTTCCTAAACTCTTTTCCAAAAGGTCTAACCTGGTTGTAATGCATGGTGACATACAGTTCGTTATCAAATTTGAGCGGCTGGGCCCAGATGACACGGCGGTACCAGAACATGTAGCTGCTGTCCACGTGCTCCATTTCCACAGCAACATCAAAGATGTATTCTTTTTTGTTCAGGGGCCGGACGTTCTGATCTGGGCAGGGGAGAGAGAGAGAGCGAGAGAGAGAGAGCAGGCGCTCGGTCTCTGAAAGAACTTCAGAGCATGAAGGGACCCTCGGGATTCATTTTATGCATTAATTAATTGAATTTAACACACCACTCCCATTAGTGCCGCAGCACAACTCTGGGCGGTTCACAATAAAATAGACAAATAATTAATATGATAAAAGTATAAACAATCTAAGCACATAAAAAACAGAGAGCACCAGAGTACTGTATTAATAAAGTGACACGAGGCAGGTAATAAGAAGAGAAACACAGATAACGAATGACTGGACAGGGATGGAAGGTAACATTGAGCCCCATCTTAGAGAGGTAAAGTTTCTGGAAATGTTGAAGCCATATAAAACAGATTCGCAATCAATCAATCAATCAATCAATCAATCAATCAATCAATCAATCAATCAATCAATCAATCAATCCAACCTGTTTTTCCCCAGGCCTTCCCATCTCAACTGATTTTTTTTTGGGGGGGGCGACGACAGTTTTTTCCTCTCTTTTTTTTCAAAGCCTTTTTATATAGCTTGAAAAATTGAGAAAATATTGTATCTCCAGCACAGTTCCTGTCAAGGAGGCATGGCGGGGAACTGAACTTCCAACCTCCTGACACGGCTGAGTTTGGACACCATTTTTTTCTTCATCCAGTCATCCAAAGCACAGCCCGGCCCCAAAGCCTCGGAATAGAGGCTGGAGGATTTACTAAAAGGATGATCTTCCTATTTTACGCCAATAAGTGAACATTGGCTAGTATGTAATCTCATAAAGGCTAGTAGCTGGAACAGAAATAATAACTTGGGGGCCATCAGACGAATAATAATAGCTATTTCACCCAACCAAGAATGGATCTGCTGCTCACTTCTATTAGTGACGGCAAAGATGATGTATTCGTCAAAGGCCTCTGGTTGATACAGTCCCATTTCGGAGCACAGTTCTTCTATCACATCCAGAGCAACCTAGAAAAACCAAGATGGGGAACAATTTAAAAAAAAACTATCCAAATGTCATTATATAGAATGCAAGCTTTAAAACTACACAGAATTCTTCAGCAAGCTGATTCAAAAGAACTATTATAAAAGAAACAGAAGACAGAGAGATTTCTGGGAGAGAACATGGTGTTTGTTCCTGTTGTTATTGAGTCCGTTTGTGTTTAAGTCTTTGAACAAATGGTGCTTTCTCATTCGGTGTAAAAGTCACGGCATCTCAATCCGGTTTGGGGACCACCGAGGATGACTTCTTTAAAGTGAGAGGGAACCACCCCTTCCCACTTACTGAACATGTTTTGATCTTGAGGTGCCTCTCAATCCCGCCTGGCAAGAGAAACAGTTGGCGTTTGGAGCTCCGGCCAGCCTTGGCAGAGGAGAAAAAGTAAAAAGTTGAAATGAAGGATCTGAAATCATATTTTCAGGAAGTTCAGCCAGCTCGGGGGACCTCAAAGGGCAGAAACAGATGACAAGCCAGCTTTGCAATTAGAAGGTGATAAAACATTGTCCCTCCCAAAGACAACGATCAACCACCAAACAAAAGAGAATGGCTTTGCAATTTCTGGGCTGGAAAAGCTTTTGCTAGGAAAAGCTGAGGTCCTTCCGCTCTGTGTCTGGTTGCAAGGATGCCCTCTTGTCAGCTTGTGCCATAAAAACTGGAAAGAGGGGTGGGTGGGTTACACTCCAACAGGGCTCCCCAGCAACCTGGCTCTGGTCTTTTATCTCCGGGGCTGCTGTCTCTCTGTTTCTACCACAAACTGGACTGTCATGAGCTCCCCCCGATCGGCTGCAACGGGAACGCCCCCCTTCGATCCTCACAAAGACGTCAAACAAGGACTCACCACCATGGCTTTGAGCTCAATACTGCTAGGGAACTCACACCGGCCACCAAACTGGAAAGTTTTGTGCAGATTCTGCTCACAGGCTTTGGCAAGGCCTGGCGGGGAGGTCAAGAAAAACAAAAAGCAGGCTGCTTCTGTACTGCTCTGGAGCGCTTAAAGCACTCTCTGGGTGGTTTACAGTTTAATTGTGCAGGCTAACACATTGTCCTCCCTCCCCCCCACACACACTGCCGCCAGCAAGCTGGGTACTCAGTTTTACCGACCTCATAAGGATAGAAGGCTGAATGAACCTTGAGCTAGTTTACCTGGGATTGAACCCAGGCTGTGAGCAGAGTTTTAGCTGCAGTACTGCAATTTAACCGCCATGTCACAAGAAATAGATAAACAGGAAGAGAGAGAGAGAGAGAGCAAAGGTGAAACTCTAGACTTAGAAGGTTCTGAGATTTCACCTTGGAATTGCACAACAGGATTGCTGACCGTCTGCTGGAGAAACCCCAGAAGGTAAGGCTTGAGAACCTCGGAGCATCTGTAGTAGGCACTTAGGATGTAGAGCAGTCTCCACCCTTTTTGGCAGCTGTCCCTGTACAGTTTCGGGAGGGGGAATGAGAGGAGGAGAGTCCATCTGTTATTAATCTGATGGCCGTTGACTCTACATGGTTGAAGAGCATGTTCTGGGCTAAGAAGACCTTTTAGAAGTAGGAGAGCGACTGGCTGTTAGATCTACCCCTAGATCTAAGAGATTCATCCCCCACTGGAAGTCTTACTCAAGAGAAGCCCTTTTGCCAGCTCGGTTCTCCACCTAGGAGACTGGGTGGCCATGGCCAGAGGCTGAAAACCCCAGTTCAGAAACCCACAACCGTTTTGTGGGTTCCCTTCTGTGGCCGTGTCCACAGCTACTGAAGCAGGCTAGGCCCCCTTTAGAGACCAATCTCACCCAAGGCTGAGGGTCCAGTGAGACGTTTAGGAGAAAGGCCTTTCCCCTGTGATGAACGCCCTTTTGACCCCGCAACGAGACTTCCAGAAGGATACGTGCAGCGGCCACCAGGTGGGCCAATGTAGCCCCTGTCCCTGACAATCCTTCGCAAAACGAAAGCGGCTAAAGGTAGCCCACAGACTGTCACCAAAAAGGGCACCTCTGATTATCCGAGGGAGCCCCTTTTCCAGGCATGCGCTCAACCTGCCCTCTGAGTTGACCCATAAAGAGCCACCCAACTGGAAGGCTCTTGAAAGCTCCGGATGCGTTGGCTTCTCCCCAGCTCCCGCACCTTGCTTGCTCTCCAGCTTGAGCTTCGCAGGGAGCTGTCCAGGGTCCTTCCCCACCTGGCATGACTCTCTCGGATGGGATCCCCCAGGCTCGGCTGCACTTGCTTGTGTCCTACCAGAAGCTGAACTGGCTTGACTTTGCTCTGCTTTCGGCTGCGTTGAGGTACAAGGGTGTGGCGTTCACCCTTCTGCCTGTTGGCAGTCACAGACCAGGGACCATACCTCACCTCTCCAGAATGACCCGGTTCCTTCAAGAGGGAAGAAGGGTCTATGGGTCTAAGAATGAAGGGCTCTATGAGAGACATGGGCAGGCCTCTCTCTGGCCATGGGGAGCTCTGAATCTTCTTGGGTTTGGGGGATCACGGCGGCTGACGGGACGAGTTGCCGATGCAATCGTGAGAAGGTGGCTACTTAAGAGCGCTGGGATCCGAGAGCGTTTTTGCCTGGAGGACAGCAGGTGGAACTGTCCTCTGCTTTTGTTCCACCACCCCATTGGCCTTCTCAGCCCAGAAACTCACGTACGTCTTGCTGCTGGTGTTGTCCGTGATCTGTTTGATGACCTGGCAAAAGACCTCATCTCTGAGGACCTCGTGGTCTCCGCAGAGCTGGAGAAGAGAGGACACCAGGGTGATGTTGAGCCCATCTCCATGTGAACCCCGCCCGGACAGCTATCTTCTCTCAACTCCCCATTCTTTCGAAGGACCTTCTGGCCCAGGAAGGGGGTGGAAAGATGGATATGGGTCCCTGCCTTGACTAGTGAATGCCCGGCGGTCCTGCCAACAAAAAGAGCATCCTCCAGAGATGGAAATGCGATGTGTGGACACCAGATGTTGTTGACTGCAGCTGCTATCATCCTTAGGCAGGCAGCCAAAGGTGAGGGAAGATGGGAGTTGTAGTCTCACAGCATCTGGAGCGGCCCACCTCCAACCCAGAGAATTAGGAGATTGGGAGTGAAACAAAAACTGCCACACCTGATCTGCAGCCAAGGTGGTTTTGATCTGTTTAAACACTGAAGTGCAGATGCCTGTCCCCTACCAGAATGGAAACTTCAAGCTCCAGGTCCCTATGGTCTCTGCAGAGCTTGTTCATATTTTTTTTTTAAAAAAAAAACATTATAAAGGGGTTTACTGACCTTCAGGAGGCTGCAGACCACGTCCAGTTCTGTTTGTCCTTTGAGTGAGAGGTCACCCATGAATTTCATCACAGCTAGGAAAGAAAAGTAAGACACCCCAAAATCAACAGGAGCCTTAGCTTTGACCAGGGGAAGGAGCCACCTGTTGAGGCAACCAACGTTCAGCAAGAGAGAAGATCCATCATCCTCCCACCAATCGTAAGCAGTGAGTGCTTCTCTTCTCTGCACAGATCCTGACCTGTTTCCCCAGTATCTTGGTTTTGGAAACGCACACCATCCTCACGTCATCCTGAACAAGCTGATCTCACCTGATATTGAAACTAAGGAGGTTGTTCCTCCCCAAGACCACCAGGAAGTAACAGGTGCTGAATTCGAGAGGCGCACCAATTGCTTAGGGGCCGCTCATGGTTCTGGGTCAGTCCCTGGGAAAAGGATCCTGCCCAACAGAGCTGGGAACATCGGGATAAACAGAGCAAGGATCTGACTCCATGGGAGGCCATTTCTTTAAGATGTATTTTCTGAGATGACACGTATTCCCAAGTCCATGGCAAAGATAAATGTAAGAGGAATCTCTGCAGAGGGGAAGCCCTTCCGGACAGAGCCGGCCCTACCGTTAGGCAGCCACAGGCTATGGGCCCATTGCTGTTTTCCCTCTGGCTCACCCTTGCGTCCCCAACGGCTTCTCCCCCACTTCCAAATCTGAGCTGCTGCCTTTGAGTGTGTGGGGCAGGATCATATGCATGAGTCAACGTCGAAGTTCACATGAACCAGCCACCCCAGATAGCTTCCTCACGTGGATGAGAGAAAGGGGTGTTGGGTTGTCTTTTGCTTCCGGGGGGGGGGCAGAATGCCTGGGGGGCAGCATTGTGACCGATCAGATCAGAAGTCTACAGAGCTCACGGTTTGGCCCACAAAAGGAAACCCCATATTGGCCAGAACTAAGGTCTGAAGAGAAGAGGCCAATCCATGGCCTCCTTCTCGTCCATTATACGGAACATGCCTCACTAAGAGATGGCTCCCCCCCCACCCCCCCAGGTCTTCCTCACCTTGGAAGGCTTCCAGCGCTATTTTGTTGAGGCTGCCATCCGTGAATTCAATGAGTGACTCCTGGATTGGAGTCTGCAAGGGGGCCAGGCATGGCAAGAGAAAGAGAGAGAGAGAGAGAGAGAGAGAGAGAGAGAGAAGCCAGGTGTGAGAGGCATGGCCCTCAAATAAACACAGTAGCACAAGCAAAAACATGTCACTGGGCATGCCCTGACTCTAATGGTGGGATACTCTTTTTCCTCTCTGGGTTTTCGTCCGAACATCACAGCAGCTAATTCAAGGTGCCAGACTTATTGTAGAGATGGGATTCTGTCCTTTGGAAAGCTATTGTAAACCATCGTCCTCCTCATTTATTCATGATTTATTTATTTGACTTCTATCCTACCCCATTTGGCCAATGGTCCCACATCATCATCCACTTAGAACTACAAAGCTGCAAGGGACCCTATGGATCCAGCCCCTGTCAAGGCGGCACCGAGGGGGATTTGAACTCTCAACCTCTGGTTCCTCAGCCAGAAGCCTAAAACACTGAGCTATCCAGCAGTTTGTTGCACAAGAAAACTGAAAATGGATTCACAGCCCCCCTGGACCTGGACTCAGCCGCAGCCGCCACCAAGTGAGAGGCAGCAAAATTCAGAAAACAACCCACGTTACCTTGGTAAATTTCAGTATCTCCGCCAGACCCTTGGACTGGACCCCTTTCTTGGACTTCGGCTTGTCAACCTCCCTGGAATGAATTCCAGACATGAATGCCAGTTGGGTTTAAGGATCGATTCACGCTGCATGGCCTCTCCCCCCCCCCACATATCTTGGGCGCTGTGCCTCTAGGGATCTCGTCCCCACCAGCTCAGGACTGGCCAAAAAATCATTACCCCCTTGCAAACGTTCTATGAGATGCCCATTGGTTGGCCTGTGACTCAGCCCTTTCTCCCCAAAGAAGGAAGTGGAACACAGAAAAGAAGCAAATAGATATGGTGGCAGGACCCCATAAACTGGTTGAGGAACCTCAAGACGCCAACTCTCTCCGACACAACCGCCTTGTAATGAAGACTTCCTGATTTCCCCCCTCCCCCCGGTGCCAACCAGCTTTCATGGGGGCGCCTCCGTCCGCTCACCGGCCTCCACTCACATCTTGGCCCTCTGCCCTTCTCGGAAATACTTCTTCGCAAATTCCAGCATGGTGAAGGAGCCGCCTGGTGGGGGAAGGCTCTCCAGGGCGCCCGGCAAGTCTTCCAGGCTGTCGGTGTACTCACTGCCGGCTGGAGAGACCTGGGAGGGGGGGGAGAGAAAGGGAAGGATGGCGGGCGTTGGTGTCCACATTTCACTGGGGTTCCAACAGAACTATAGCAGAGGTCCCTCGTCCAGCACGGATTGCTGGGCTATTTCTCCCACTGTCCAGACGACACAAGGTCCGATCCGATCAGATCCGTGCCTTCTTCCTACTTTACTGTGTTTATTTGTTCCTTCTGAGAGGGTTTCCCACCCACCCCCGTCCTGGATTCGTTCCGGGAATTTAGCACTATGGAAGGTTGCGCGATGGTTGTGGAGTTTAGTGCTACAGCGCTTCCGGTGGAGAATGCCTTTCGGCATCATAAACTCCCAGAGGATGAAAAATACGGATTATAGCAAACACTGTTTTAAGAGCGAATGCTATAGAGAGAGAGAGAGAGCATGGTCCCTGGCTCCCTCTAGCAAGCAGTTCTCGTAATTTCACCTTTAGAAATGTATATTTTTAGGATTTTTTCTTTTAATATTTTCAGACTGTGGATAAGTGAGTCAGTGGGTACTGATCTTGTGACTACAAGGGGGCTACTGGACCGCAGATTTATTCTAATTGTTATCTCAAGCAAAAATAAATAAATAAATAATCGGTCAGCCAATTAAAAAGTGCCCCGGGCTTTTTGTTGTTGAGGTGCGGTACGTGAACCCCGCAGCCTTGTTGGGAGTAATTCTCACAGCACCTTTTTGAAGTTAGAGTTACACGGCAAAAGGAGTGCCATTACTTTTCGCTGTGTTACAATCATCATGTATGCAGAGGTATACACAGAGCACGGAACGGTAACTAGTTTTTTGGATTACAAGTCCCAGAATCCCCAGGTGAGGAACTCATGGTGAGCTGAGCTCTCCAAGACACTCGCCTCCGCCTTCTTGTCCAGCTCATGAGCCACGGCTGCCGAGGCCACGGCCATGGCCACCGAGGCCGGGACGGCTACTTTGGCCTGCTTGTCCTTCGGCTCGTCCTTCTTCTCCGCAGGCAGGTGGGTGAAATCCGGCGCCGCCACCGGCTGGACACAATCCGCAGGAAAGAAACCCGATTTCCCGTAGATGGCGCCAAACTTCCAACCTACACCAGGGAAGGTCACCATCACATCAGGGAGAGAGGCGGAATTTTTTTTTTTAATCGTACTTCGCTTTGGGAAAGAATTCCACTCGCCTTTTTGAGATCCCGTCATACTCAGGGGTAGGAAAAGTGAGAAGAAAGAGGAAAAGAGAAAATCCAAAGTGACTCATTGGAGCCAACAGGCTCTTACATGTTTGGTTTTGAATCCCTGCATCTTGAGCCAGGTCAGTGCCGAGTTCGAATTCCCACCTCTTATCTCTGAGACTGGCTCCCCGTCGTTAACACCTCCACGGCAAGGTTGCTGCCTGGGACTACAAACCACAAAACCCACCAGCCAGGTGAGGATTCTGGGCTTTGTAGTCCCCCCCAAAGAGCCATTATCGGCTCCGGTCAGAAGCTGCCTGCTAGCACAAGAGTCATGCTCAGCGGCCGGATTCTCAGCCAAAGAAGCTGTTCCTCTTTGCTGACCGTCTGCGGCTGGAACTGGAAAGGCTGGGAGTGAACCCATTCCTTTCTGAGGGCAAAAGCAGATTCTTCCCCCCTGCCCATCGCTCTTTCTCCCTCACCCACCCACCGCACCCGGTCCTTCTGGATTAGGTGCTAAAGATTTCCGACCGGTCCCGGTTGCCATCTTTCGCCCCTTTTAGTTTATGGGGGCTTTTCGAGATCAGGTTTGCTCGAGAACCAGGGCACCAACGCAGAAGAGGAAAGAAGCCGCAGAGCGAGAGTGGAGCAACCGCGAGAGAGCAGGACGGGCCAAAGCACGGCACACGGGAGTCGGGGGGGGGGAAGAAGCCACCCACCAAAATCCTGGGTGCCTTTCTTCACATCCTCCAGGAGCAGCACTTTCTTCCTCACCACGCAGCCATAATAGCGGTCTGTAGGGGCGGAAGACCCAAAGAGGGATCACGGGGGAGTCAAGACGCCCCCCGGTGGCCCACGTTCCCGGACTTCGCCTACTTAGGTTACCTCGAAGACTTTACACTAAGGGCAGGGAACATCAAATTGTTTAGGGACCACCCATCACAGACCCCCCTGGGGACCCTACAGCTGGGCAATTCTTGTGTAGTTAAAGCAAGGTGCAGGATGGACCTGTCTGGTTTCAGAAGAGGCTTCTGCAGCGCCATTCTGCCACGGAGGGGGCAAGCGGGAAATTTAGGGGGTCATGGGGTTCCAGAGAAACAGCCTTTGGTCACCACTATAAGGCAGCTTTTTAAAAAAAAACTCTTAAATAGAAATGCAACCCTCCCCTGCAAAGCAAAAAACAAACAAACAAACACACACACGCACACACACACAACACAACCCACAGCTAGGATGAAATAGGAATGCTATCAAAGAAGACCCGATCTCTCGTTGGCATGTAAATATTTTCCTCTTTCATTGATTTCCTCCAGGTCGCAAATAAGAATTTGGAAGCCTGGTCATCACCTCATTCCCTTGCCAGAAGATAGAGTGAGGGAAAGAGAGGATGACAGGGCTCCACTGGTAGATGATGTTTCTGTCCCTTTCTCCTTAAATTTGCCCAAATCACCTGTCTCAACAAACCCACTCCTCAAATCTCCTGCCCAATGTTTTTTTTCCAAATAACTCCCAAGTTTTAGGACCACATCTAACATTTGTCACCTTCCCCCGAATTTTTATTCTCGCCGAAACATCCGCCCACCGCACCCACCTTGTGGCAAGCCTTCCATGGGCCGAAGGCAGATGATGTCCCCCTTGTGGAATCGCAGGAGATTTTTGCCGTCTGTGACGTGGTTCTTGATGGCCACCATGTACTGCGAGTCCTGGAATCGGGGACAGACAAAAATCCATCCGGAAAGGCTGTCCCTTCTGATCGGATTCATCCTCGTGCGATAAAATCAGAAGCCTTCCAAAAGGTTCTCTCGGATACAAATGGGGAGGCGTTTTCTTGGGCTCCGAGAAAAGGGTGGGGCGTTTTCACAATTTTTGAGGGGTACATTTCTGGGGGGGGGAAATGGGACTTGGTGTCTCAGTCCATCATCCAAACCAAGATTTGAGAAACCCCTATGGAGCTGTCTTTCTATAATGAGGCAGCCTGTCTAGATGAGAACCTTGGAATCACGGAGTTGGAAGGGGGGCATCTTAAGGCCATCAAGTCCAACCCCCTGCTCAAGGCAGAAACCCAAGTTAAAGCAGATGTGATGGATGGTGGCCCAGTTTTTTCTTGAAAGCCTTCACTGCGGTCATCTTCATGTATCTCATGATTCATATCCCTGTCTATGGCCCGGATGACTCCTTCCTTGCTCGATATCACCTTGGGAAGACCTAGGCTAGGGGGTGAAGTCTCTGGCTGTGGAGCCCGAGGTTGGGGGTTCGATTCCCCGCAGGGCCTCCTGGACTGGACTCCGCGATCCATGGGGTCCCTTCCAGCTCTGTCGTTCTAAGATAAGACCTGAGATTATCACCCGCTCTTCCCCCAAAGAAAACCCCATCATTTTACCTTCTTCAGCTCCGTGATGAAATGGTCGATCAAGGCCTTGACTTGGGAGGCTTTCGGGGAGAAAAGAATGAACTTCTCGTGGGTGAGGTTGAACTCCAGCATGTTCTTGGAGGGGATGGTCACAAACAAGATATCTCCATAGCTGAGAGGGAAGAAAGGAGAGGAGGAGGAGGAGACGGCCAGGTTAATGTCCAAGCCGGGAGTGTCTCAGGGGAGCGGAGTGGGTGGGGGAGGGCTCTGAAATCAGCTCTGTCCCAAGCTGTCGAAATGGGAAACATATGGGAGATTATCAAAAGAAAGGGGGTGGGGGCGCAAGAGAGTGAGAGGATTCTACATACACTCCCCTGCTCTTCCTGGTCCATCCATCGCCCTGTTTTTTGCAGAGATGGTGGACAACCCCAGCGTTCTCACCTGTAGCCTCGTAACACGCGGAGCTCCTGTCCAGGCAGGTTGGCCCCTTTCAGCAGCCTCAGGAGTTTAATCCCCACGTCGGACACGGCCAAAATCTGCACCCCGGTGCCCACGCTGCCCTGGAGGGAACGGGACAGAGCAGGGAACGTGAATCGACACAGTTCCCAGAGGATGGGTGAACCTCCCGTCGGTCCTTGGTCTAATGGAACATCAGTTAAAATTTCTAGGAAAAGGGGCCAAACGTGGGTAGGAAAGGCCGAGAACTTGAGGGACCAAGCTGACCCTCAATGGGAAGAAGACCCTATTGAGGTCCTGCCCCATCTCCCCCCCCCTTAAATTGGGCAAGAAGCAAGAAGAAGCATGAGAGGGGGGGGGTGAGTCACGTCCATGGCCATCTCCTTTCCTAAGAGGCAGAAGGCAACGGGGGCCATTTTGAACGACCAGTCTCGGCCATCCAAAATGTTCCCGAGAGGCGAAGCAGAACAACATCGGTTCGTGCCAAGGGTGGAGGAAGTCTGGACTCCAAAGGGCTTCCATTTTAGGTCTCAGAAGCCCCAGGACTGTGGAGGTGGTCGTCGGAAAGATCTGGAATGCCCAAGGTCCGCCTCACCCCTTCTTGGAGCCGTCTCTCTAGCAAGCTTTAACCGGCTCACGCACGTGTGTGTGTCCATCCATGGTCATGAGGTGGGCAGGACGCTCCTTACCGTGGCAGGGAAGAGGCGGGAGAAATACACCTCCCAAACTTCCCGGGCAAGATGGACAATCTCCTTCTTGACACTTTCGTCGGCCACCGGACTGAAGGAGTCCAGCTTGTTTTCCGCTGCAGAGAGAAACAAGGCTCTGGCTTGGCTTCCTTTCCAAACCCCTTGGATTCTTACTGGGGGGGGGAACTAAAAAGCTGGCCACCCACCTCTTCTTCCTCCTTGGCTAATTCTTTATTCCCATCCCCCCCCCAGGTCCAAGTGGACAAGACGAGGGTGAAGAGCAGCTTTGGTCGGTGGTGACGAACTGTCTGCAACCCTGGCACCGTCTCGATAGCTTGGATACTAACTCCCATCGTCCCCAGAACAATGGGGAAGATGGGGGTTGTGGTGCAACACCCCTGAAGGGTGCCAGGTTGCGAAAAGCACCTTGGACCTTTTAATCTCCTTTATGATGTGTTTTATCTCCTTCTAAAGTGATCCCCGGCTGTTCCTACCCTTAATCTCCTCCTCTTTCTATACCTCCACCTTAAGTCCCTGTAGTTCCTCCTCTCTCTTTTTGGGTCCCTTACTTTTTTTTTTCTGAACTCCATCATTCCTCCCAAAGAAAGTACTTTGAGCTTTCTTTGTAAGCCTGACATTGGGGAATGTCTTGGCCGAACCCCAGTTTCCAACCTGGGGTCGTGGTGCCCCCCTCGGACATGATAGCTGAGAGGTTGAGGTCTCTAGTTGTTGAGACGGAGTTTAGGAGTTCAAATCCCCCACTGGACCTCCTTGGCAGGAGCTGGACTTGATTATTCCAGCTGTGCTGTTCTAAGAGGATGATAGGAGAGCAAAGATCCTCTTATCCTCCTGCCACCGCCCATGGGAAGGGCAAAGGTTACCGAAGAAAGCTTTCATGCGAAGTTTTTCATCCTGCGTGATGCGGATGCAGGCCTCCGAGTGGGTGTCGTTGAATATCTGCAAAAGAGGGGAGAGAAATGCACTGTGCCCACGTCAGCCTCCCTTGGGAATGGCCGGCCGTGAATTCAACCCCGGAAGACACCCCCCAACGTTTCATGCTCAGCAGCATCAGGCAGTCCGGAGTGGGACCTCCTGGGTACAGGCAGAGCTCTCTGGGTTTCAAACACGCCTGCGTACAACTATCAAGGCAGGAACGGATGTGAAAGCCAGCCCGGGAAAGCCTGGTCCCTGTTGGAGAGACCCGATCCGGGATGCATTTGGCGCTGGAGAAATCGAGCTTTAAAGGAATCCTACGCTTTTTGAGTCACGGAGACTAATCGCAAATCAAAACAAGCTAGTTTTCAGAAACTGGGCGGCGAGAGGACGTCCCCGGGGTAACGATCACACGCAATTTGTCCTTGACTTTTTTTTGATAGGCCGTATGTAACGTCTGTTTTCACCCTCAATGCAAGCCGGTGGAGGCGGTAAAAAAGTTGAGGGCCGTGCGGCCGAGGCGTTTCCCCCCCCCTCCTTGATGAAAGAAAATCTGGAATCTCACCTGCCTGAAAAGAAGATCTAGAAGAAGAGGGTTGGAGATGTTTTCCCGTGGGTAGAAAACCTGCAATGAAAGGAGGATGGAAGATGGGATGTCCCTCAAAAGAAAGAGAGAGAGGGAGGGAGAGAGAGATTGCACTACTGGGACTGTAAACTCCCCCCCCCATCATCCTTAAGTGGCACACACAACAGTGCTACACACACTGGTCTATCTAGCCCACCATCTTGTCCTTAATGGTGATTACGGGGCTAGTTCTAAGAAGTCTGCAACTGGGCCATAGAGCCGTCCGATGACCACCGACGACGTGGTCTTCAGAGATAGACTGCCATTGGACATGGGGGTTTGATTCTGCTGTTACAGCCTATAGACGCCATCTTCAAATTGGTCTAATCTCTGTCCAAAGGGATCTAAGCAGAGGCTGGCGTTCTAAGAAGTCTGCAACTGGGCCATAGAACCGTCCGGTGACCACTGACGACGTGGTCTTCAGAGATAGACTACCGCTGGACATGGAGGTTTGATTCTGCTGTTACAGCCTATAGCCGCCATCTTCAAATCGGTCTAATCTCTGTACAAAGGGATCTAAGCAGAGGCTGGTAAAGTTCCTTTGGCAGATGGGGGGGGGGTCTCCCAGAATCTCCTCAGTTAGCGGGCCATGTTGACCGAGAGGATTCTGGGAATAGAACTTGACCAGACTCTGGAGCTCAGCCACTGAGTCTCATTTCCCTGTGGCAAGGAGTTCCGCATGCTGGGATGTCATTTTGTAACATATTTGCCAATCCGTGTCATCAGGACCATGTTCTAGCACTTGGAAAGGAGACTTTCTCTGTCTATTTCCTCTACGCAAGGCACAGATTTTGAAAATGTACCCCTCCCCTCTTCTTTTCCCCACCCTGATGTGAGAAAGGGAAACATAAGCAGAGTCTTGCATAGGAAAAGGACCTCTTTCCTGAGATAAATCTTCCAAGCCACGTTGCGGTAAGTGTAGAACTCCTCACTGCATCGGCGGTGAAGCCGCGTCTGAATTTGATCATCTTTGGATGGTAATTCCCGTGAGACAGAGGCTGGGGGGAAAAAAGGAAGAAATCAGTGGCTGTGCCGGATGAGAAGCATATATTTCCCTGCTGCTGTCTGCATTAAAGAAAAAGCCACATCCTAACCCAACCTCGGAAAACACCCTAGCGATTAACAAATACATCTATATTTCCTAGCTTTGTAACCCTGCAGCGTCTCAAGAAAAATACAGAGCCGAAGGCAAACGTTATTTTCTTGTTCGGCAGCCCGTACCTATTTTTTCAAATTTCTGTTTCATGAAATTAAAAATACAAACAATAACAGCAATAAACAAAAAAAAGTAACTAAAAAAACTTTTAAAAAAGAAAAACCACATACACAATGACACATCATGGGCTTCCCTCCAACGGAACCCTCTGAAGATATAACTCATTTTCCCCTCAATTCTGGAGCCCCGATCCCCTTCTGAAATGGTGCTAATTCTTGCAAATGCCTCATCTAATTGCTATTTTCTATGTATCAATCTATTTCATTGATTGATTTTTGCTGGTTATGGGGTTCGGTTCCGACCCCGTCTTTTTTTCAATACGTCCCACCGGATCTCCACCACGAGACGCTGGCTGAGAGATTCTGGAAGTTGTGGTGCGAACAAAGCCACTTTCTTAAGCTTATTGCCTCAGGATTCGGCCCCCTCATTGCTCTAGAGGAAGCCATCCACCCATGAAATATCGCAACCGGAGAAAACACGGTCCCCACCTTTACCCAGAGAGGCTTCTGGCAAAGGTATGGGGAGAGCAGGGGATGGGGGACGGACCGCTGGGGGAACCGCCATCTTGGTCCACATCACAGGCTTCACCATGGCAACCGCCTCCTTTGGTGGCGTCTCCCGGACAGCCTACGAAAAAGTCATTTCACACGTTAACACAGCAACGCACCCAGGATTTGCCCCGCAGCCCCTTCAGGACGGAACAGAGGCCCAATCCTGAGTTGGTCTCCAAGCGTGGTACCCACACATGTCCCATTCATTCTGGGCCATAGGATGAAGGATTTCAAGCCCCGTGATCCACAAAAAGTAACTTTTTGTAGCCTAGACATGGGGCTGTAATTAGAGCAGAGCCACAGAGATGCTTCCCAAGGCACCAAAATTGAGAGACACCGAAATCTAGAGGTAACTTGACTAATGCAATAGTTTCTAATCTTTGTTCCCCAGACGTTCTCGGACTGCAACTCCCAGAAAAATCCTGGCCAGCACAGCTAGCCGTGAAGGCTTCTGGGAGATGTAGTCCAAGAACATCTGGGGAAACAAGGTTGGGAACCACTGGACTTAGGAATGTTAGGAAAATAGATAGCAATACGCTGCCACCCCATCTGGAAGCTGCCAGAGACCCTCACGCCGGAGAGGAAGGGCGTAAGGGCAGCTTTGAAAGGTGAGAAATAGCCTTCCGCCCTGGACAAGAACTAGGAGAGCCCCATGCATTTGGCTCTACCCAACGGTACCGGCGGGGGTTTGGGGCGTGTGGGGGCCTCGGTGGCTGCCAGCTGTTCCTTCAGGATCCTCAAAGCTTCCTCGTGAGGGTCCATTTTCTTCACAAAGACCTTCCCACCTTCCTTCCTGCAAAGACAAAGACAGACGGATATCCGGACATCCTCGAGTCCTCTTCTCCGGCCCTGAATTTTCGCCAGTCTTGACTGGCGCTGCAACCACTACATCTCACTGCCTCAAAAGAGCAGGCTTGCATTGAGAGTAAAAAACCACCCATCTCGTGCTCTCTCCCAGTATTATTGATGTTTCTGTTGTTGCCGTGCACAGAAATGCAGCAATATTTACAACCGCTTAAAAAAGCAGAGCTCAAAGACAGCTGACATTCTCATTGAAACAGATTAAAAACAACAACAAAAACTTAGAAGAATAACATCCGTAACATTCAGAATAAATCAATGCAATTAAAATCATCACAGCACTCAATCAAGCAGTTTGAAAAAGCAGTTTGAAGACACGCGCTTTCAAGGAAACATTGGAAACGAAGCAGACACTTTATCCTGCTGTTTGCTCCTTACAAGTAAATAAAGTATTCAGAGGAATACTGTCCCTGAAGCTGGAAGTTCCATCTTTGCAACTCATGAATGCATCTCCAAGGCTTCAAAAGAGAGAGAAATGTGCCAAGGATCCAAGGAGGATGCGTGTCTAGAAATCTCATTGGTCTCACCTGAGGGGGTCGGGGACCCGGGTGGGTTGTTGGTACTGCTTGATAATATTCCGGATGTTTTGCGTCGGCTCCGGGATGTGCTCCGAATTCAGCTTGGAGTGGCGGATGAGCTCACCGGCGCGCAGCCTTGCAGTAGGATCTGGGCCGCGACACAGGAGAGGAGACAAAACAGGACGAGAATACGTCGCAAAGAACCCGTCAGAGCAAATATCAAGTTTACGAGATTTGCATCTGGAAAATTACCCTCACCAAGGAGGAACTTAAGCAAAACAACCTACAAACTGCAGGAAGGAAGAAAAACCCTTGCTTTGCTAATCCTTTTTACTCATCATTTCAGGAATCACCGCTTGTAAGATCAGACAGTCTGTAATGTGTAGTTTGACCCACGCCTGGGAGACATGGCCTTTCTTGGACTACAGCTCCCAGAATCCTCCAGCCAGGACAAAATGTCATGTTTCCGAGCATGCTTTCATGTTTTCTTGGACTGCCACAGGGCTGTCTACAGCGAACCCCCTCCCCCTGGATGGAAAGCTCGCTTCTCTTACTGGGTAGCTTTCCGCTTCGGCAAGATATTGAGAAAACCAGCCCTATTCGGCTGTGTTGGTAGGAAGAAGAGAGCCTGTGACGTCTCATTGGGATGAATCCTGCACCACCGGGGGGTCCCTTGCTAGCCCCCTTTTCCAAAGAAGGCACGAGAGAAGACTCTGAGCCTTGGCCGGGGATTTGCAAACATAACAAGAACAATCATTAAATTTAAAGGTGGTCGTCCGGCTGCCAAACAACCAGCCTGGCTAAGCACCCTTCCTCCCTCCTTACCCGATTTCCGGAAGCTGGGCCCGTCTTGCAGGAGGCTGGGGGCCAGTGCAGGTGGATCCCCCATCCCAGTCTCCACTTCTTTCTGGCGAGGAGGGTGTGAAAAATCAAACATCACCGTTAAGTCCCCACCTTGAGGTCACAGAACCCTGGAAGCAGGGTGTCACATTCTGGAACCGAACCTATAGAATGATCCCAAGGCCACCGAGTCTAAACTGGAAGGTATCCACAAACCTTCTTCTCTTTGATCCCAAGCCCGGATACGTCTTCCTTCCCACCTGGGCCGCTGGAGTGCCACGGAGTTGTGGGTTTGAGCGCATGCAGCGAAAACACCAAGAGAGACCAGACACCCAGCGGAGCACAGCAGGTGCCAGGCTCCGAGACGAGTGAAATGAATACATGCATTCGCCCGAGAGCAGGTATCCAGTGTCGGGCAGCTCTGGGTCACGCACACGAAAGGGCACAGGGGTGCCAGCCACCGCACACGGCATCCCAGAACAGGTAGGAGAAGTCACCTGCGTGCCGCCAGAGCGCAGAGAACAGGACGTGCCCTGGGACGAGCTAAGCCAAAATGAAACTCCGGCAGACATGGAAGGCGCTCAATGCAGCTGCCTTTCTGCTAAGCCCTACGTGGGCAGCCAAGCCACAAAGTTCACGGAGCCCCTGCTGGGCCTTCCCACAGCGATCAGAGGGTGACAGTTTGCTTGGTGGGTCCCCAGACCTTAAAACCTGGCTCAACCATGAGCAAGGACCCAATGGGGGACTCTGAGTGAGGGACCCATAAGAAATGCAAACCGGGACCCATGGGAAATGCAAATTGGGGCCCATGGGAAATGCAAACCGGGAATCCTATCCAAACTCACCTAGCCTGACTTATTTTGAAATCAGAGCTGACCAACGTGTACTCAGTCGTCATTTATCCTTATAAGATTTTCCGATGCTACAGGCTTTTACCGACACTTCCTGTTTTTATATAAGCTACAGTATTTGCTCTTATTGATAGTATGTGCTTTTAGGCTAATGGGCAACCACAAGGTTTTGATTGAAGTGCCTTTTTAACGTTTTTAATCTTGATTTGAATGATATTGGTAGGCTTTTTTTTTTTTTACCAAACTTGGAGGGGTTGTAGAGGAGAATCACGGGAAGCTTCTCTGTGATTTTGGTGTCTCTAGATGCCTGGGGGGGGGACTTTCCTGGGGGGGGCTGTTTGTGGGTGTATACCCCGGACATCTGAAGGCCAATCTTCACCAAATTCAGAGGAATTATAGGGGAGTGTCAGAGGAAGCGTCCTTGCAATTATGATTCTTCTAGGTGCCTGGGGGGGGCAATTATAGCCAAATGAATTGGCAAATTAAATAAAAGCTAAAAATCCATTGATTTATATTTGTCAGGGGCATTCATTCGTAAAATGCAAATTGACAAATTGGTGATTTTTAAAATGAATGTGGTGACTCTTTTTTAAAAACCCATGCCCATCTCTAATAAGGATTATCCCTGGAAACTCATAACTGCTGTTGGGGTTAGACATTTTTTCTGTCCTGTTTCATCCCCCCAGTCTGTAACCACCACACTTCTCCCCCCTCTCCCATCACCTGTACAGGCTTACCTGGACAGGTGGACCTGCAGAAGGCCTGGGAGCAGGGCTGCCTGTTCCCTGGACCCTGGGAGGACGACGGTGTCGAGGCGAGCCAAGGCTGGGGGACCGAGGTCCTGCAGCAGAAGCGGAGCTGGTCATGGCAGCCACGACGGCCTGTTGCTGCCATTGGTGAGAAAGAAAGAAGGAGGTTGCCACCTTTTTTTTCCGGCAGGGCTCCTGTGCTTTCAGCCTCTGGGCCCCAAAAGCAGTCCAAACCTTGATTCTGTTTGTTTATCTCTCAAAAGATTTATAGCCCACCCTCTCCCGGAAGATTTCCAAGCCAGGAAAAGGAGTTGTTCTGAAACCTTCTCAGTCTGCACAGGGCAACATGGATGGTTTCCCCAACCACCAGAAGCAACATTTTCTGAATCTGGAACTGGCTTGGTAACATGCAAGTATTATTTTGCTAGTCGTTCAATGAAGGCAGAAAGCAGGGAAAGTGCTAGGCTAGGACGGATGAATTCCACTGGACATGCACGCCCATCATGCCCACCCCATTCCCCCACTTCAATATCTATCTTCTTGACCTCACTAACCAAGAACGATTCTTGCGGTGCACCAGAAGCTCGCCACCTCACCGCCGTGGCCTCGTTGGTCCCTGCAAAAGGGGGGAAAGAACATCTCAAAAAGTTTGCAAAAAGGAGATTAATTCCTCATGAGGATGGGAGGTGGTCCAGCTCAGGGACAGAGGGTTGGTCTGGGAAGTCAGGGGTTCGATTCCTTGCTTCGCCAGTTAAAAGGGCGAGGAAACCAGGCTAGGGGACGCCTCTGTCCGAGAGTGTGGGTGACACCAAACAAACCTTGTAAATAAAGAAATAAGGCTAGGCCTACACTCACCTGATGGTCGGGGGCCCTCAGGAGGTGCGGTGCCGCCCCCGGTTTGTTCTCCGTCGCCCCGCCCAGTCCGGCCACCCCCTTTCATCCGCAGGGAGACGGCCGATGGCCTCTCTAGCTCCTAGTTCCCAGACGGAGAAGAAGAAAGGAAAAGATCGTTCCAGGTGCTGTCCTCCGAGTGGATTTTGGGACGACCTCTCCTTTCCCACGAGGGCCGGCCTGATGATGGGGCCGAGGGAAGCGGGCTCCTTGGGCCAGGGACACTGGCTGGTGGCCCCTTGTCGGCTCCTGTCTCTGAAGCCCCTAAGCTAGCCACAGGATTCCCAGAGGGCATAACCCAGTCGCCAGGACGGAGAGGAGATTCAAGGGTTCACCCAGCCGGCTTCTGAACATGGGGGGGGGACAGGTCAAAAAGTGCCTCCTAATCTTTTGCCTCAGGCAGGAGAGAATCTTGGGTCAGCCCTTTCTTTCTCCTCCATGCTGGGCAGTCTCTGTGCCCGGCTTTTGGGGGACAACAAGAGATGGGCAGGATTGTGGGAAGGACCCCCCCCCCATATTTTGAAACCTGGGCTAGGGGGAGAAGAGATTGGCCACCTTACCCCATTCCCGTAAGAGAGGACGGGGTCAAAGAGACTGTCCAGGTAGTGGTCCAGACCCTTTTGGCTCCGGGGTTCGCTGAATGTGTCTGAATCGGCTACAAAATCACAAAAGGAAAGAGAATGAGCCAAAAATGACAGAGGCTATTTTCTGTCCTCATTCCCACAGCTATTGTGCGCCCAAATACTGAGTTTATGAAGGCCATCTTCTCTCTGATAAAGGGGCCACTTTGCAACACTGCTAAGAAAAGTGAATTTTCTTCATACACATCGCCGATCCCAGATTCGAGACACGATGCTTAAAAGATCCCAATGTTTCCACCCTCTGCATGGCACCCCATAGGGTTCACAGCAACCCCCCCCGTGGGTCTGTCCTTAACTCTTCCCATTCCAGCCGTGAGCCGAGTCCTTACCATGGCTATAATACCCTTCTGAGTCCGGCAGGTTGGTGGGGGCCACTGTGGGGGCCTTTATGAGTGGGGGAGGGGGGACCCCTTCATGCACATCCAGGTCGTGTCTGAAGGCCCTAAGGAACAATGTGAAAGGGAGACGAGAAGGTCAAAAGGAATTAAACTCCACATACTGGGGATGAAAACAGCTGGGCACAGGAAAAAAAACTTGGGAAAATATCCAAATTTTGCATTGATTTGAGCCTCTCCGCTCTTCCTGAAGGAAGCTTTAACTACAGTTTCTTTCTTTCCCATAAACGAGAATATATACAGTACATCCTTCAGTACTCTTACCTTTTACAGTTTTGGAACAGGTTCTATTAAAGTCTTTGCTAAAGTTAGCCGAGCAAATTTGGAGTCCTTAATGGGTGCGGAGCGGGTGAGGGCTTAAGCATGAGGACTGAAAACAACGGCCGGGTCGCCCACGACTCGGAGCGAACCGTTCTGCTTCTGCATCCAAAGTTAAACCCGCACAGAGATTTTGGGGGCACCTCTTTGGGAGGTGAAGCCCTTTAAGGGCTCGGTTCTTCCTTACGGGCTTCAGCAACACTACGGCCGACCTTGTGAGGTTCTTGGCACCGTAGCGGCTGGTTTGCAGGAGAGACCGGGGGACGGGGTGGGTGAAACCACCTCTTCTACCTACGCTCTGCCACCCACGTTCTTCTCCAGACCCTCCGAGGCAATGAGGAAATAGGACTTCTGCTTCGGGAAGCCTCGGATCAGCTCCAGGTCAGAGACCAGGTCTAAGACGTAGTCATGGCCCGCCAGCTCGGCCCACTGGGCGCCGTCCTTCATGGTTACCGACCAGCCTTGCCACCCGTCTGGAAGCCCCCTGCGAAGGAGATCAAAGGGTCATCCGTTCACAGGGCCAACCAAAATCAGGCATGACATGATGGCATAGAACAATGGATCCCCACCTTGTGCCCCCAGATGTTCTTCACCACCCGCTGTGCTGTTCAGGGTTTCTGGGAGTTGTAGTCCAAGAACATCTGGAGACCCCCCAGCCAGTCGGAGAACCATTGAGATGGAACGAGGATTCAAGCAATCCCTCGTGTTGCCCTTACAGGGACCTACTTTTATCTAGTTTTCGGACAGGTCCTGTCCCGCTCAGCACCGAGGTCTCTGAATGCTGATCCCACTGGACAGCTCCCTACCGACCTCGCCTGAAAGGCTGGGATGAACGGGACCCAGATCGACAGACCCTCCTGTCCATCCCTCTTACCTGTATTTCAGGATGTTCTCGGCCAGAGCTTCTCCTGTCGTCCAGGAATCAACGGGGCAAGAGAAGTGATCGCCTGGCAAGGCAGAAGAGCAATAAGGGTTACGCCTTACCCAGCTCGTCACAGCACTGCTTCGAGCAAATGCCCTGCAGTCAGAAAGCTAGAGCAGAAGGAGGCAACCTTCTGTGGGTGAGCAAGACTTCTGAATCTGCCATGCAAGCAGACATTTAGCACAGCATTCTGTACATGTTCAGAAGCTGCCAGCCTGGGGCCTGAGAATTTGCCATCCCTAGGGAAAAAAACCATCACCAGTGGCTCTCAGAAAGATTTCTGTGGAAGAAGCTACTGGGCTAGTTCGGACCGAGGCCTCTGGTCTCCATCACTCGGTCCGTCTTATCAACACCATCCTCCCAGGGATCCGGTGGGTCTGGCCCTCTTTTCCTTACCGTTGAAACAATAGACATCCAGGGCCATGTTCACTCGGTCCCGGCTGGCCGACCACTCCAGCAAGGTGGGCGGGAAGACCCGCGCCGTCTCGGCGCCCTCCTGAGCCTTCTCCAGGGCCCGCACAAGCTTGTGCTGGCAGATGGACTTGTAGCCGTCCAAGGCGTGGTCGGAAACAAACCTGCAGAGGGGGTGGGTGGGCACAGGAAGGGGGTACAGGACGGGCGATCTCAGGGTCGGCCGCGAAACTAAGACAGAGACAGTCCTCAAAATGCATCGAGAGACTTTGAGCATCTCCAGTGCCTTGGAGCACAGGGAATTCTTTCAGAGGCCTTTGAAAGGCATGAAAAAAATGGCCAATGTTATCATCTATTGGATAACATCTCGAAGACATACAACAGGACCTTCGTATCCGCAGGGGATCCGTTCCAAGCCCCCCCCCACAGATGCTGAAAAATATGGACTATAGGAAACATTATTCGTTTTACAGTACTGTACTGTATTTCAAAAATGAGTTCGCCTGATGCCTCCAGCTGTATTCTTCCATTAACGTGGAAGAAACTTTCAAAGGCTAGTCTGTTCGGCTTTTTTGCCTTAGGTAGAAAAATAATATCTCAAGTCAGCCTTGATTTCCATGTCCGTTGCACGTGGCGGGGTCCTCAGACCCACGTTCTGTCCCATGCAGGGCCCTCAGCCCCCTTTCCCCCTTTCCCTGTGACGGAGCCAGCCCGCCCCCTCCCTTACTTCAACAGGTATTTCTCCAGGCGGGGAGAAGGCGGAAAGGCGCTGAAGCAGGCCGCCATCAGGAGCCAGCCCCGCTCCTCGTTGTGGGGGTTAGTGTTCCGCCACACTTGGTTGGCGATTTGGGAGAGGATCTCGTCCCGCAGGCTCGGCGTCGTCAGCCCCTTCTGCACGATGAAGTTTCCAAACAGGGTCTCCTGCATGCCGTTGAGGTGAGGGTCCCCCATGAAGCGCAGCACCTGTCACGAGGGGGTGAAGTCACCCAGAAAGAAGGAGAAAAGAAATCATGCCCTATGATGAGGGAGGGAGGAAAAAAAATCCCATTTCCCCCCCAATTCTGGTTTTAATAAAAGGCGACTGAAGTTCTACACCAGGTAGGATTTGGTGCGCCCACCAGAAACGAACCCATTTCGAGTTTGCTTTTCTGGGCCATCGAATCGAATCTGACTTACGGTGACCCCCCCATAGGTATTTCCAGGGTATGTGAGTTATTTTAAGAGAGGTTACACCTTTGCCACCCCTACCCAAGGAATTTCCTTGGGTGATCAGGGATTCGAACCCAGGTCTCCCGAGGCCTAGTCTGGCACTCTCCTCAGATTTGAAATAGTTCTGGGGAGAGGCAAAGCGTTTGGGAAAAGCCTGAAGTGGACGCCTCGATCTGTACCTGCCAACCTCTTGGGCAGAGGTGGACTTAAGAGGCTAAATTAACGAAATTAATTAGAATACGATGGAGGCTACTGGGGAACCAGCCCACCCATGCTCACTCATGCAACCCCGTTTTTTCACATGTGCTGCTACTCACAGACACCATTCATTATCTGTTTCTTACACATACGCACACACCCGTTGTGCAAAACCACAAACACAGACATTCTCCCCCACACGGTGTGCTTTTTGACAGGAAAGATGGAAGGCGTCCCCTTACCAGCTTGAAGACGCTCACTGCTTCGGGGGCTAGGCTCTCCTCCAACAGGGTGAGCGGAGAGGCCAGGGTCTGGGTGAGCATCCCGAAAAAGGGCTCCTGGGGGGGGGGACAAGCAGAGAGCTGTGTCTGGAGCCGCCTCCCTGGGCATGGTTCTGCCGCGCACTTGGTCAGAGGAGCCAAGGAACGAGCGACGGAGGAGGAGGAAGGCCACCCAGCCGCCAGGAGCGGGCAAGAAAAGCCACCGAGGGAACGGCACTGTTCCAGGGAGGTCCTCCGACACCGGCTTGCAAAGGGAAACCAGGGCGATTTAACTCAAAAACTCTAAATCGCCTCTAATGGAGGGTGGGGATCCGGCGGCTGCAAAGCCCTCCACCTGACGGGGCTGCTGAGGGTCCCTTTAAGAGGAGCGGTCTCCTTGAATGTAACTGGTCTCTCTGAATCGCCGAAGCCAGCCAGGAGCCCCCAAAAGGAGAAGCCCTCCCGCAGGATCTTAAAAAAAAAGGGGGGGGATGGTTTTGGGCACGGTGGCCCATTTGCTAGAAGCAGGATGCTCTGCCTGATGGGGGACGGTGGAGCCTCCTCCCACTTGACACAGAGAAGCCCGTTCCCACAACAGGCCCTTACCTTGAAGTGCATCTGCACGTAGTTGGCCATGGGGTAGTTGTTGATGTCCAGCGGGAGGGCCAGCTGGGGGTCCGCTTGCAGTTTGGGCCGGGGGATGGAGGCGACGCAGTCCTCGTTGACCTGCTTGTGAACTACGGGAGAGCGTGAGGGGGTCAGGTCTTGCCAACGACCCAAACTAGGTTGGGTGCTTAGAGGTCATACAAAAGGGGGGGGGAAGGAAAAGGACACCCCTTTGCATGTCAAAGATATGAACTATAGGTTTCATGTTAATAAGAGCCATGTGCCACCAAGGCAGTTCTGACCTATGGTGACCTTTTGGGGGGTTTCTAGGTATGCTCAGAAGTACTTTCACCCTTCCCTTCTTCTGGGGGTGCCCTGGGATGGTGGAGCTGGCCCAAGGCTACCCAGGCTGGCTCTTCCGGAGATGCCCGGTGGGGATTCGGACCCTTCGAGCTCCACAGCCAGAGAACTAGGCCACTGAGCTATCCAGCCAGCTCTTCTCCGTGAGGATGATTATAAACGATGGTCCCAGTTTAATCAGAACGAGAAGCCGTCCTTGTCCTCTGGTAGCTCTTTAAATAGAGGACTTTTGGAACTGGACACTTGGCCACCCTCGCCCAATGCAACTCATAAGACGGGTGTACCTGCCACCGTGTTCAGCAGCCCAACCAACTCTGCCGGGACTTCCAGATTGGCGACCCTCATCACTTCTCGCGGGCTCAGCTCCTGGGGGGACCCCGAGAGAGAGAGAGAGAGAGAGAGAGAGAGAGAGTGGCTGGGGTTTCAACCTGATCACCTCCAAAGTCCTTTCTCTAATCAACATTCTTCGATTAATTTGATTGCTGTTCTCTCTCTCTCCAGGGATTCCTGGGTGTTGTAGTTCTGTGACAGCACCGGTGGCGGTTGAACTACAGCTCTCAGGGTGCTTTATTAATCATCACAACAGCTGAACATAACTGTTCTCTCTCTATATTGTGTAGATGAATGCAAAGACTTGGGGAAAACTACATCTTACACATCCGGGCAGGCTCCAGGCTTTGCAGGGAGGGGGGAGAGAAAGATGTCTTGGTAGGATTAAGGGACCCCCTTCTTGTGAAGAAGGGGACTCAGCACCCCCTCGTCACCGCTGTTCCCTCGCTTCCCTTTCTCCCTCTGGACCCCATTCGCCCGGCCACTCGGAGGGAGAAGGCCTTGCCCGGGAGGAGGTTTGCCCCCTCTTTCATGCCACCACTTCTGGGCTCGAAGAGGGCTGGGGGCCAGCAACAGAGGGAGGCAGGAGGGCCAGAGGGTTTCGGGGTGGGGCGGTTCGGAGCTGGGGGTGCCAACAGATGCCTTTCGACACTGAACCCTGATGCTGACCCCCCTTGTGTATTTTGTGTGGATGCAAAAAGAAAAGAAATCCCGTTTTCCTTGAAAGAGTCTGTGGCACACCAGAAACTAGAGGGCAGTTCAAAACCGAAAGAATGTTACTAGACCTCATGGTGGCAAAGCAAAACCCAGCTTCCTTCAAAGCCTCAGCCCCACGCCTGCTAGAATCTCAGCAGGTAAGCAACCCAGGGTGTAGCCTTCCTCAGACCCTTCCCATGCAAGACCGGAGGGCCTTCTGCAACATGCAAAGTGACTAGATTTGCATAGACCGGACACAGAACCCAATTTTCAAAGACAGGCCTGTTTGCGTCCCCGCGGGCCTGCTTGTTTGAGCTGCAAATTGTTCAGCATAGCAACCCACCCGGTGGTCAACATCCTGTTGGCCATCTATCCTTGCGTTCAGGGACATATATCTTGGTGGCAAGCAGGAGTTCATTAATGAGGTGCTGGTTGCGTTCCTAGGCGTGGGACGTATCCAGGCACGCAACCAGCATCTCGTCCATGAGCAGCAGGTTATGAGATTTCCCACGGGCAAGCATAATTCAACTACCCAATTCTGGCTACGATCTCTTGATATAAGGAAAACGTCACCTTGTTTATTACCTGCTCTGCCTTCCTCCTCTCCTCTTCGGCTCTCTGACGCTCTTCCTCTTTCCTCTGAAAGGAGAACGGATTTCCATGGTCAAAGAAGCAAGGCTGCTATCCTGGCCAAAGCCGACCCAAGACATTTTGCTGTCTGAGGCCAAGGGCGAGGATGGGCTCCAGCGACAGGAAGCCAGATTCCAGCTGGAGATCAGGAAAAACTTCTCAACGGTTAGAGCAATACGGCAAGGGAACCGAAGACCTCAGGAGGTGGAAAACCCTCTGTCAGATATGCTTTAACTTGGATTCCTGCATTCATTGGGGGGTTGGATTCGATGGCTTTATAGGTCCCTTCCAAATCCATTACTCTGTGATTTTGTGATGATATTCTGATGCTGCACCCAGAAGCTGATCGGCCCAGCCATTGAATCTGCCTTGAATCTGTCCTGGTGACTAGTCCCATAGACCGGTGGTTCCCCGTTCTCTATATCTTTACACCTGACAAACCACTGTGTAAAAGAATTTGGGTTCTTTCGTGACAGAGGGGGGGGGAATCCACTTTTGTGTGTGTGTGGGGTATCTGAGAACACTCCTGCCTTTACACGGATCCTGCTCTTACATTTCCCCCTTAAGGGAGGATATAAGGGTCCCGATGGCAATTTTTTAGAGTATATATTTTAATTGTATGTTAGTTGTTTTATCTTTGTTATTGTATTTTAATTGTTGTAAGCTGCCCGGAGACCTTTGGGTAATGTGGACAGCATAGAGATTAAATAAATAAAATAAATTCATAAATAAATAAAAACATCAAAATGGCCTTGATATGGTTGAGAGCAAGCGCCAGCCCCAGGAAAGAATAATTCTGTTCCCAACTAAGCGGTCTTGATTGTGATGAAAACGGGCACTTTGCCACCTGGGCTCTGCGGAATTACTGCTCCGGGATTATGGCCCAAATTTCTTGTCCCACTTTAGAGACTCACGGGCTGTCCCTGAGAGAAGCTTTTGTCAACCATGTCAACTCAACCCCCTCCCTCTGGGTCTCTTTCCTCCGTCTGATCTTTTGAAAAAATGGCTCCGTGCCCACACACGCGAGAGGGTGCCAGCTGTAGCCGGGCACGTGGTGAAACTTTTCCATTTTTTAAGATGCTCTAAGGTTCCTCGTTGCTTCGGCGACAGCAGGGCAACCCAGCAACCTCTCTGAAAACGTGTCCTGAGGAGCAAGCGTGGATATTTTACAATCCACTGCCTTGAGCATGCGCTTGACCCCGCTACGATTCTTTTATTTCGATTCTTACCAGCCTGGGGGGGGGGGAAATCACGCTAACGTCAGCTGAATCTCAAACTCTCTGTTTGCACACAGAAATAATGTACATTTGAGACCTTTAAAGAGCGCTCCCACCTCACTCTCAACTTTAAAGAAAAAATATTCTTTGGCTGTTTTTTTAAAAAATTATTATTCTATGGTTCTTTGTGGCACCGAGGATGGCCATCGCCCTGTTCGCCCCTCGAAAACTGCGCTGAGGCTCGCAACTCACGGCATCTCCGACTTCATCCATCTGGAAACGGACGCTCTTCATGACGGCCTGTTTTGCTGCCAGCCTTGGGCACGCGTGCCAGCTCCGGATCAGCCTGCCCGCCAGCAGCTCTGGCAACCACTGTTTGCTTAGGGTGTGAGCTGAGTCACGCTTTAACCCTTCTCCGCCACTGGCATCCGGCGTCCTTTTCCCACACAGACATACCCAATTGAGGCAGCTCACCAAACGCTTTGCGCTTCCAAAGCAGGACCGGCCCGAACATTGTGCAGAGTGGGGAGGTTGCCTCTTAGCTGGAAGCAGCCAAGTGTCCGTCGGAGCTGCCTTTGGGTATGGCGGAGGCGGCAGTTCTCCCCTCGAGAAAGAGCCAACCGTCTCTGAAGATGCCTTTGGTCCTCCAGATGCCCCCCTCCCCCACAAAAGGATGATACCTGTTCTGCTCCCATCCTGGTCTAATTGTGAGACCCTTCAGTGTCACATCCACCCCGCTGTCCCTCTCTCCTGGACCCAGTTTGAATCTTTCCCTCACTTCAACTATTCTTTCTCAATGACAAGATCATTGTAGGTTCTGGATGTTTAGCCCCACGAAATATCTCCTTTTTAAAACCCAGCTACTAGCCCATCTGGGGCTTGTTGAGAGCCTGCCGTAACTTTGCACATCCCATTATTGCAAGGTAGTTCCCCAGCATTTGCCCCATCTTCCACTAGGATTCCTCACTCATTCAAAGCAACTTGCACCCCAGAGATGTCACCCATCGGCTTTCCTGAACACCCGCATCTCCTCCGTGCAAGGTGGGGCCGGAATACAGATGGCTTTCAAGCTCTCCTGCCAGACAGGCAAGGCCAGATTGGTTTTATTCATCTGGAGCCTGGCTGGGCATCTTTCTTTGTGAATCTAAAATGGTCCCAAACAATCAAAGCAGCCACCTGCTCCTCAAGGGTAAACCTCAGAACAATGACGTGGGGTTGGTGCAGACTCTTGGATAGCCAGACACGACGCCCTCCACCCCAACCTGGATAAAACAGTGTTTTTTAAATATAATCTTTAACTCCTCACCCGTTTGTGTTCACTTCCCCGTCTTGCACCCAGCACCCCGCCTAAAGCAGGATGGAGCAGGGGTCTAAAATATAGACAACAGAAGACCTAACTCTTGTTTTTAAATTTTTAAAATTCTTTCATTTACTTAATGGATTTTTAGTTTGTTTATTGATTGATTGATTTGATTTGATTTGATTTGATTTGTATCCCACCCATCTGGTCTATACGACCACTCTAGGCGGCACAATCAGTTATGATTGTGATTTAATTGCCTGTTAGTATGTCGTTTATGGTGTTTTTAGAATTACAATAGGAAACACACACCCCGTATCCACAAAGATCAGTTCTAAGCCCCTCCCCGCCCCCCACAGATGCTGAAAAAACACTGATGATAACGAACATTATTTTAATTGGCACAACCACAGAACCCCTCCCGCTCCAAAATGTTCATTAGAACGACTCCCTCGCCCATCGTCCCCGTCCCAAGCCCCCCCCCCGAGCGGCTCACCTTGAGGTACCTCCTCCGGTTCACGTAGATGCGCACCAAACACCTGACCTTGAGGAGGGTTCTTCGCAGCCTCCAGAACCTTTGCCTGCAGGACGGGAAACCCCCCGGGATGGAGGTTGGAAAGATCACACCCAGCCTCAATAACACTTTCTCCTACCCGGGTGAAAAACCAGAACAAAACACGATAACCGACCACGGACGGCACACAGCTTGCAAAGGCAGAGGGCAAAAAACAGTTCAACACTGGGGCACGGAGGTGGGTGGGTGGGCGGGCAGGGGTCAGAGCAAAGGCGAGGGACTCCAGATCCCATTAGCCACAGCTATTAGGATAGCTGTCACCCAAGAGGATCAGGAAAGCCACCGGTTCCCCCTGGCCTGGTTTGGAGAGCCAGTCGATACGTGGGGAACAATTTCTCTCCCCACCACAAGCCACAAGACCCACACTCAGGTGCAAACCTCACTTGGGTGGACTATAGGCCACGTTGTCTCTCGGCTTGGCCAACCCCGTAAGGGGGTTGTGACGAGAAAACAGGCAAAGGGGGACTGGGTTCCTTTCCGGATCCCCTCATATAAAGAATGGGATGCAGATTAAAATCCAGAACGCGTCCCTTCTATTGGAGAGTGTTTCGCCTTCACACACAGAGAAGTCCTGTTCATACATTACGAAACCCCGTGGTTTGAAGGCCCAGAGATGGGACAGCCTAGCGCCGCTGGGTTTCCTGAAAGGATCCCCAAGGAGTCTGAGGCGTCTCCCTCACCGGTCCTCCCCCTTATCACCAAGGACCCAAATTTTCAAGGAATACCCCCTTTCCAGACTCAGGAATGAGGGCATGAAGAAAGCCACGGAGGATTACGGACATGGCTTTCTATCAGCTCTCACAACATCTGAACAGGTCTAGAGGGTAATGATGTCTGGATGAGGCCCACGGCATATGGCCGTGATGATAACCCCCCCCTGCTAACCCACATTTTCTCTCTATCTCTCTCTCTCTCTCTTTCACACCCTCCTGTCTTTTAAAAGGGAGCCTCTTTCAAGGAGAGGCGGCTCCGCACCTGACGAGGTAGCCACGGGCCCGGGCTTGGAGCAGGATAATCCGGTAGCGAAGGGCGTAGAACCGTTTCTTGATCAAGAAGCCGCGCACGTAGCGCTGGAGGGTCACCACCGCCAAGTGGACGACCCGCTCGCGATTGGTCTCCAAGTGCTGGTAGACGCTTTCCTTCATGAAGAGCTGCGGTGGGAGCCGGAGAGAGAAAAGAGAGGGATGAGAAGCGAGGCATTCAAGACTCAAACATTGAAATGGAGGCTCTCCCTACTTTGGGCGCCTCCAGAAGGCAGGATTCTGGTGGATGTCCCTACTGGGTTGCTTGTTGCATGTCGGACGGGGAAATCCCATTGGTGGCCCTCAACCAGACCCAACAGAATCAACTGCTGAGCGGTAGGTCACCGTCCATGGAGTCAATGGGACCAGCTAAGGTATCTGGGCCAGATACTGTCCCAAGGAGTTCCCAAGGAAAATGGCGGCCATACTTTGGTGGCTCCGATGCAGTACATCTCTGGGGTGACAGGGCACAGCTTCTTCAGCACTGCCACGCAATTCCACCCGTCAGGGATGATGTCTGGCTGGATGTCAACAAGGCAACGGTACCTGGAGTGACACGAGGGGAGGCAGGAGGGGAGAGAAGACCTTCTTTAGAAGCCATTTTTCCAAGAGAAGACCATTAGGAGTCACAGAGCGGGAAGATGCTCATCGTGCGAGAGGTTTGCAAATCGGTGTTCAAATTTGGACCACAAAGCTCTGCTACCTGGGGGATTTTGGGGAGTTGTAGTCCAAAAACATAAACTTGCCCGCCTGTATTGCATACCTTTGATTCAGACAGGTATACTCAAATCTGTTCCAAGCAAGCAGATGCGGTAGAGCTAGAAAAAGTTCCTATTATGGACCGCAATTCCCAGAGTCCTGCAGGCCCTGGGAATCACCAAGCTTTGGGGCTTAGGGTTCCCGGAATCCATATCAAGAAAAAGAACTTCCCCATCTTTAAATTTTATTTTCTGTGCTGCTTTCCTGCCAGGATTGGGGCCTCAGGTGGCTGGCAAGATAGAGAGCAAACTCTGTTAATCACATGATTGCTGGATTCCAGTTCCTGACCGTGTCATGTAAAGCTACACAAGCATGATAGAGTAGGCCCATTTGAATCAATGCAGCTTACAGAGGAGTTGACCTGCCAGATCAACCTAGATTCAATGGGGCGACTGTAGTGCCATGGACTTTGCTAAGCAACCGGGCTTTGGCCATTATACTCAGTTAGGGTTAGGTTACAAACAGTTCCAAAAATCTCATTGAAATTCAAAAGAAGTTGATATCATCATCGGGACCCCTGTCCTGAGTCAGCAGGTCCTTGACAAAAGCCCGCCTGAACCGAACAGTCTTTTCCTGGCCGTAGAAGGGGAACATGGAAGGGGGCCAGACTCTTTTCTCTTGATGGGATGGGGAGAAAAAGCATCTCCCAGACCTCAGGGCGGGCTGGCGTGGCAGGATCCAGTCTTTCAGAGAGCCCAGCATTCAAGTTTTTTTTTAAGGCCGATGTGGACGGTACCTCTCAATGAAGACCTGGAAAGGGATTCGGACAGGAAAGCCCTGTTTACGGATCCGGATGGTCTCCAGGATGCCCGAGTAGCGCAGCTGGCTGCTCACGATGTCCGTCTCAAAAACCCCTGGCTCCTGGACGGGAAAAGAAGAGGGAGAGCTTTCAACGGGAGCCCCAAAGAGCCGGTCAGCGAGGGAGAAAGACAGCCAGGGTGGGAGAAAAAAAGGCATTACAGAGCAGCCTTTTTCGGGGTGGGGGCTGACCCCCGGCCTTTAGGGTGTCCTTAGAAAGAGCCCTGCCTTGAAACCGACAAAGATCTGCGGGTCCAAAACCCACAGCGTCTCCCTCTTGATGAGAGAAATAAGTGAAACGCTTCTGCACTTGATCTGTTTCCCCCCGCAAGAGAGCTCATGAGATCCGAGACGCTTCGTGGTTTTTTCTCCCCCACCCCAGGAAGAAGCGCATCTATCCAGGATGATGAACGAAAGCAGCACCCCTTCGGTTGAAAGGGCCCATTGGTCAGGGTCAAGGTCCAACCCGCTCGGGACAATAAACCCTCTTGGATTCTTAGGGCAGAGAAAGGAGCCCCTCGGGAAATCAGGCCGGCCATCTCCCCTCCTCACCCCTCCTCAAGGGTGCCCTTGACCTTCGCCCGGGACCACGGCCACCGAAATGGAGTTTTAACTCCATGGAAAGCTGGAGGAGGTTGGAAATAGACTGTTTAGCTCTTGGTGGCCGAGGCCACGTGACGATGGCGGGGAGAGCCTCCTCCAAGATCCAGGGAATAGGTTTGTCTTTCTGTGCAAGACCCCAGAAGGCCAATAAAGCAGAAAATCAATTAAAGCAACCCATGTCTGCGAGAGAGAGAGAATGAGAGAAAGGGACACTTCCCAGTAAACGTCCACTTTTAGAGAAACCAGTGATAAACAAAGGGGTTTTTCAGAGAAGTTTAAAAACCTGGAACGATGGGATTTTGTGCCTTTTCAGCGGGAGACAACTGGAAACGATCCTACGGGAGTTTATTGGGGGGGTGGGAATCAATGGGGATTCTGGAGGAAGTGCCAGAAAGTGAATCCTCTAAGGCCAGCCCCTTGATTTCCTCCAGAGAGATTGCATTCTACAACTCCCATTGTCCTCGGCTAGCCTGCACAGTGGCTGGGAAGAGTGATTAGGGCCACAAGATGGGCTGTTGGAAGCCGGAGGTTGGGAGAAAAAGGGGAGCCCAAAGTCCTGTGTGAGTCTGGACAGAGAGGGGGGGACAAGATTTTATCCGGCCAGTTTTGCTTTGCTAAATTGACATCAATAGGGGACAGAGCAAAAAGCACCACAAAACCCATACCTTCTTATTGTTGGGCTTGATGCAGCGAACAAAGAAAGGGTTACATCTGTGGAGAAAACACACAACGTTAGCGTGATTGCCACCATCTTTTTTCACCCTGAAAGAGTTTGAATAATTCATGCTTCTGAACTACAACTCCCAAGATTTCCCAGGCAGCATGGGAGCTGTAGTCTGAAATCTGCATACTTCTACCCTGAAGTTTGGAGGAGCTGTTCACCAAGGTGGGTGAATCTACTTTAGGAATATGATTCAGCACCCCGAGAGCTCCCACAAGGTAATTTTAGAAACCTGCTTTTATCAGCCTGAAAAAAAAACAAACAAACAGATTCTGAGCTTTACTTTGAAGCTGAAATGAAAGATTTATTGCAGGCTGCTAAAAACTTCTAGGATTGAGAGGGTGGTCAACAAAGAAGACTGAAGACAAAAGGATAAACATCAAGAAAAAAATGCATCTCATAAGATGCAGGAAACTGGGATATATTGCTCACAGAAAGAATAATGGTAAGTATCTGTTCTTCTAACAGATAATTCAAGGTCGAATAAATAGATCAACGCAGGAAGGAGAAAAGATTCTTAGCTAAGAAACCTTACAGATTGGTTTGGACACAAGAGCAGATCTCTGTTAAATGCTGTCACATCCAGGGTTGGTATAACCCAGATGACATCTAAGATTCCATGAGACTGGAAAATCAGGAAGCAAAATAAGGAGCTCAGCGAGGCAACAGAGACATGTTATAAAGGCTTGAAGAGACTTTTCTTAGCAGCCTGTTTAGCTAATTAATTCTTTACAACGAGAGCTGCCACGTGCCTTTCTGCTCTCTCAGCAATCAGCCTTCTGTAGAATGGCTTTTTGCGCCTGGCCACATGTTTTGAACAATCGGGGCTTCCTCATTCCTTCAAATTTTTATCACATCTGCACCAGATGGAAGGTTTTTACAGAACCTAGTGGCACACCTTGACTGTCACATTTTAGCCTTATCATCGGGGCATGGCTCAACCTAAACTTTTAATTCTACACCTAGACGATATGTAGAACCTCCATATCCAAGAGCAGTATACCCCTAATACACCAATTTAGGGGAAACAAGTCAAGGATGCTCCTGGAACTGTACTCTGCTTAGGGGCTACTGCCACTGTGGCAAGCAGGTAGAACGTGCAGGGAGTTCCTTTTTTTCCCCCTCAACCACCCTTCCCAGAATCTTGCAACCAGCGCAGACTCTGCCTCCCTCCTCTGCTCTCTTTCTTGATTCTCACCTCTCCATTTTCTCCACCAGGTCCAAAAGGGACTGCTGGAATTTTGCTGCCACGGTCTGAGGTTTATACTTCCTCCTGCTGGTGCTGCTCCTTCCCATCATGGTCTTCTGCTGGGAGAGCACTTGGGCATGACTGAAGAAGAGGTTGGCCACCATCTGAGACAGGGACAAAACAAAGGGGGACATTTGGGGAGGGGCACCGGACCCGCTGGTTTTGATCCCAGACTTCAAGATAAATGATTCAGGAAGAAACCAGCAAATGCTGGTGACTCCAATGCCATGGGGGCAATGAATCCATTCCGAGGTTTCCTACGAACAATCAATGAACTGTCCAGGGTGCTGAATTCAATTCTGGGGAGTAGGGGTAGGTTTCAGCACCTTGGAAAGCACCTCTAAAGTTCAGTCTAAAATCTGGCACGGATTTACCACCCTGCAATACCAGTGCCGCTGCCCTCTGCAGGATAAAATAAGATGAAGCCATTAGTTAAGTAAGTTCATCTGTGTAGACAGGGAGGTCCAGCGTTCAGTTAATGCATCAGTGCAGTGATAAGGTGATCTAGCGCTAAACTTCCTTTTAAAAAAATACTTGGGAGGAAGATCAGAGGGGTGAGTGCTCCGGCTGTCTCAACACATCACCCCCCAGCTCAATCCATCATCATAACCCCACCCAGAGTCTTGCTCCCTGTCTTTCTGTGGAATGAAACATGGGATTACCCAGGGAAACCACCATTCAAATCGTACTGAATTTTTAAAATGGGAAATCCCCAGTGGCAGGGGGGGAAAAACATCCAAACCAGAAGCAAAAAGCACTGGCTTGATTCGGACTGGCCCTTGGCATTGGGCAAACATCGAGAGATGCTTCGAATTCACCCACATCCATTGTGGAGCAACACCCAAAGTATCTGCCAATATTTATTGATTTAAATAAAATATTTGTAAGGCGGCTTATAACGGTCTTAAGGAAAGTGCGTCTTCCTCAATTGACCTTGTGTGTGTTCGTGTGTGTGTGTGTGTAGAGGCACAGGATTCCACCCGAGATCAGCCCCAACCCCCCAAAAAATGACCGACCTTGGTTTTGCTGTTGACAAAAAGGTCAAGGACGTCCTGCCGAACTTGGTCGTGGTTTTTATCCAAGAATTTGTGCACCTGCAGAGAAGGGAGGAGAAAACACCCCCTCTTTTTTAATGTGCCAAGATTCGCACCCAGCCCAGCCCCTTCTAGCGCCAACAAGGCACAGAGGGGTTACTTTGCTTCCACCCCTTCCGAACCGCCTGCGGCGTCTCACCTGGTAGGTGACTTTGCCTGCGTAGTGCTTGATGGAAAACTCAGGCAGAGGCATTTTTGGCTTGGAGTAAAGAGGGTTGGCGCCGTGATGGTAATGGCATTTCTGGAGGAAGGTGTGGTCTGTGGCCTGAGGAAGGAGAGAGGGAGAACCGGGCGGCCCCATCAGTCTCCTGGCAGCCGCTCTCTCCTGGATAAGCCTGGGCAGTGATTCATGCAGAGATGCAACGGGCAGACTCCCTCCAAGAAGCATCGCTCTGCTGACCCTTTTGGGTGGAGAACGGTAGAACGGTCCCATCTTGGAAGATGTGAAGGCTCAGGAGAACAAAGGGTGTTTGCTTCCAGAAAGCCTCGTCTGCTCATTCATTCATTCACTCCAAAGCAGTTCCAGAGCCAAAGTGCCTCTGAGCCTGAGCAGAGGGCTGAGCTCGTCAGAAAAGGAGTGTTCCTTGGGTCTCTCTGTGTTTTTTAAAAATTCTATTTCTCTCATTCCGACCCCTCAAAGACACCCCTTCCTAACCTGAGGGAAACTGCTCTGGTCGTCCAGGATCTTCAAAATGCCGTGAGGTTTCTGGGCAATGAGGTCGATACACGGCTGATTGTCGTTGAAGGGGATCTGTCGCCACTCAATCTGCTCCCGGATATATTCCTCCTGAAGAAACATAACAAACCTCGCCGACGTTACTGGAAAGAACCAGCCGGCGCTGTTCCCCGGAGCTGCAGGCAGGAATGTTTCTTGCTAAGCCAGATTCTGGTATAGGAGGGCAGGAAACCATCGAATAAAGAACCAGTGATCCATCAGGCTCCAGATTGCCCGCACGGACTAGAAACAGGTTAATGTCCAACCTGGGGATGTACAGATTCGAACCAAGACCTTTATGTTCAAAGCTCGGGGTTTACTAACAAACCACACACACACACACACACACACACACACACACACACACAGAGTAAGCCATGTCATCTGCTACTTCTTTCTCAATGTCCGTTTCTTTGTTTATTTCCTCTTTGGCTCCCATGTGGGAGAAATTGCCAAGAGGGCTCAGGGTCATCGAAAACAAAGGCCTCAGAGAACAGAAACAGGCTTGGAAGCTAATGGGGGGGGAGAATAAAACAATCCAGGCCTTTAAGGAACAAAACCCAAAAAAGCCTCCAAAGTGACACCACAGCTAAAATACCGCGGTGATTCGGCTAAAACCCCAGAGTTTAGACTTGCGAAAGGGAAGGTGGCCGGCTCACCTGCTCTTCCTTGAAGACAATCTTGTTGAAGAAAAACTGGAGGTACTCATTGGCGTAGTTGATGCACAGCTGCTCAAAGCTGTTGAAGCCGAGATCCTACTCAAAGAGAGAGAGAGAGAGAGGACCAGGTGGGACTCCAGGCTCCTGGGGTGTCCATCGGGCCCCCAAGAGCAGGGAGCAATGTTTTGCCAAGTCAACCGATTCCCCCTTTCTGAGATTTTCAGGGGCCAAAACGTGAGACCGCCGGAGGATTCCTGTGGTGTCACGGCAGACAGGCCTGTATGTAACAGCTGCCAAATCGTCTAAGCGCCTGGGGGTGCCTGTATGTGCATGCCTGAGAGAGAGAGAGAGACCCAGGGGATTTCCAGCATCACTTCCTAAACCAACGTTATGTGTGTAGTTGGATGTACAAACCCCCTTGCGCTGAGCCCTAGGGCCAGCTGTGAGGTGAGACCCGAGGGCCAAAGCCCCCCCACACATGACAAAATAAGATTTCTTCCTCCCCAACACATTGCACACCCTGAATTTGCCTCCTGCCCCAGAGATCCGGAGACGTCTTGCGATGCGTGAAGACCTCGGCCGGGATCTCGTTCTTACCTTGGTGGTCCTTCGGGTGGGCCTTTGGGAGCAGCCCCTTCCTTACCTCGAAGCCGTAGATATCCAAGATGGCCACTGAGAGGGTCTCCTGCCTGGGGTAGATGAGTTTGTTGATCCTGTCCGTGAGCCAGTTGAAGAGCAAAGAGTAGAGGATCTTGGCCACGGCGTCCCTAAGGCAAGAGAGCAACACAAGGAAGCTATGAGAAGGGAGACAAGGATGTGAGAAGGCAGATGGATGTTGAATCACAGGAAAGGACCATTCATACAACACACAAGGATGTGTGTTTGGGAAATTTTGTTGTAGTTGTTTAGTCATTTAGTCATGTCCAACTCTTCGTGACCCCATGGATCAGAGCACGCCAGGCCCTCCTGTCTTCCCCTGCCTCCCGGCGTTGGGTTAATTTCATGCTGGTCGCTTCAATGACACTGTCCATCCATCTCCTCCTCTGTCGTCTCCTTCTCCTCTTCTTCTCACACTTTCCCAACATCAGGGGCTTTTCCAGGGATTCTTCTCTTCTCATGAGATGGCCAAAGTTTTGGAGCCTCAGCTTCAGGATCTGTCTTTCCAGGGAACACTCTGGGTTGATTTCCTTCAGAATGGATAGATTTATTCTCTTTGCAGTCCAGGGGACTCTCAAGAGCCTCCTCCAGCACCACAATTCAAAAGCATCAATTCTTTGGTGGTCAGCCTTCTTCTTTGGGAAATTACCTTATTTTAAAAAGACGATGACTCCCTAGAACCCCTTGGAGCCACCAAGCACAGAACAGCGCTTGGGAAAGTTACTTTGTGAAAGGTCCCAGAAACCCTCAGAGCACAGAAAGAGCAGAGTTTGTAAAAACGTCTTGTGGTTCAAGAAAGGGATTCCCCCAAAAACCCCATGCTGTGCTCTGTGCTTAGTGCTGAACCCCAAAGTTCGTTCACTACGATGGGAAGGAAGCTTACCGCCTCCACCCCCTCTTTACCTGGCATCAATCGCACTTTCGACAGTGAGAGGGGTGAATATCTTCTCCCTCATGGTTTCCTGTTTAGAAGGGCAAATAGAGAAATAAGCCAGCTTCTCACTTCTGTACGTGATGGACCCCGTCGTTCTCCACCCACCTGCTCCACTCATTAGGCAAACCACCAGGTTCCCCCAACACCCACTGACAAATAAGGCATACAAGCCTGCCTTGAGCGAACACACCCAGCCATCTAAAGTGCATGTGTGTATGTGTGAAAATCTAGAGGAGACACAACCCCTTGAGTCTTCTGTGGGCTTCACCGACCCCCCAGAACACAAAACTGGAAGTCCACATCCAGTTTTGTAAAACCCAGGAGGAAAGTAAGGTGCAGGTGGAGGCTATGCCTTGTTTTAAAGAGAATCGCCAATTCTGGAGGCCTTATGGAGAGACCTCTCCTTCCGGAAATGTTTCCTCTCTCGCCAGGAAGACTGTGAGTCCCACTTCCAGATTCTATGTAATTCTCACGCCTAACCTGAAATATCTGCCTACGAGGAACGCCAGTAATCTCAGAGCTATGCCTAGGGGTGTGGGAACTCAGCCCAGAAGATAAAAGGCCTTTAAGAGTTGGAAGGTTGGAAACTAGAAAGCCATCTCATCCGATCGCGCCGATCTTCTCAAAGAACAACAACCAAGTCTTCTGGTTGAGGCTGAAACTTGGCCCCGGGGGGAAAAGGAACATCTCTGGCATGTCCTTCTGGAGCCTCTCTAGGTGGCCAGATTTGGGGGTATTCTTACCGTCACTTTGTACGTGATGGATCTCTGCAAGCCCTCAGGGGAAATCTGGAGCAGTTCAGCCACGACGCGGATTTCTCGGGCGCTCACCACTGAAGCCACCTCTTGGCAATCGGTCTGCAAAGCACAGCATCGTGTTTTCACGGAGAGGGTGGGTTTGACCCATGTCTCTGACACAGGTATTTAGAAAGAAAGTTCTGCCACGTTTTGGAAGAAGGGAAGAGGAACCTAAAAAGAACTGGTGACTTCACATTTTTTATCAGACACTAAAGGTTTTATCAAATTACAAGAGAAGAACGGATAGTAATGCCAACATGCAAAGCTGCCAACAAAATTTGGGCTTAAGCCTTGGGAACGGAACAATAATTTGAATTAATTGGTGTCAGTCGGATGAGGATGAATCCCCTGAAGCACACCTTGCTCTGTACGGCAAAGCCCGCCATGAAAAAAGAGTCGGTTCTGCACCCTTCGTAATAAAACATGGTCCTGCCCAGGGCTCTAAACTGCAACTTCCCAGCCGAGAGCTCGCCTAATGGCCTCGCCTACAACCCGCATCATCTCTAGGCAAGGTGACCGATAACAGGGCTTACTGTAGATAATGGGACTTGTAATACAAGAAATATGGAGGGCCTCTTGGCGACCGGGGGGGGGGGGGNAAGGAGATGGTCAAGAACCAGAAAAGGCACCATTCCTATACATTCAAGAAATGCGGATCACCGTGTCCCTGCAAGAAGACTGGGCAAGGAACAGTTAAACTTGCCCCACTGGGGATGCTATTTTGCAGCTCCCAAGGGCCACCTCAGAGCCCCCGATGTGGAAAAAAACACACAAAAAAACCAAAATTGATTTCAAAAGATGTCTGCTCCCAGGACATCTTAAGGCAGGTCTCCCTCACTCTGAGACTCCTCACCAAAACAAACCAGAGGGTTATTTCTTTTTTAAAGGGCGTTTCCAGCTATTTCTGGACCCGACACAGCCCACAATGGAGGCTGGGGGTTCAAATTCAGCCCCCAAATCCTGAGACCTGGCTGGCCCCTGGCTGAGCGCAAGAGGCCGTGCAGAAGATTGCAGACGAGGATGGACATTTCTGCCTCTTCCTTCCAGTGACGGCCGCTTACCTCGTATTTTTCGAAGTAGACGTTGCCCAGGTGGAGGATGGAGGACAGAATCCGGAAGATGCTGTCTTGGTCGTGGGGGCTGAAATGCAATATCTCCAGGGCGTCGAGGAGCCGGTGGAAGTCCTCCAGGTCCGCTTTCCCAGGAATCTCGCAGTTCCCTCCCTGTGGGGAGTGAGGAATTGGCCTAAGGAATTTGCCTCCAGAGAGCCATAAGGCCGTTGCGCCTTAGCGGTAACTTCCGGATCTCTAAACTCTCATCAGAGAATAAGATCCTTATCTAATGGCATTTATTTCGGGGGGGGGCAGGGCTCCATCTGGATGAGTCAGTACCTGGTTCAGATAGTAGTAAGTTTCTGCTTCTTGAAGGCAGAATCTCCGCTTTTGCTGGGCAGGAAGACCAGACAGCATCTCGTAAAAGACGTGGTAGTTCCGTTCGTTTTTGGCCTACGGAACAAAGCGGAGAAGAGAGGGTGGCATCAGGAACCAAGAGGAGGAGAAATACGAAGCAGATAAAACATTATGGTCCTTGCCTCAAAGGAATACAAAACAGCAAACAATACACAGCAGGAAGCCAATTGCTTGGACTATATCCATTTGGAGGAGACAATATCTGCGGTTTATCCACAGTCTGAAAATATTAAAAATATTAAAAGGGGGAAAAAGCCTAGAAATATGCATTCTCATGATGTATTTACCAGAACTGGCCATTAGAGGGAGCCAGAGACCATGCTATGTATACTGTTGGCTATTATAATAGTGTTCCCTATTATCCACGGTTTTCGGAATCCACAGGAGGGCTTGGAACCAATGCCCCATGGATTTGAGGGTCCTACTGTTTGTTTCAAAGGCCATGCTTGGGATGTTTTTTTAAAAAAATCTGACCCATTTCTTTAAAGGGAAGGCAGGGAAAACAGAAGAGAAACGCAGAGGCTCACCTGAAAGACGACCCTTGATTTCTCCAGAAGGTACTGGGATGTAATGGCACCACAAATCGTTCCATTACTGCAGAGGGGAAAGTGTGGGTTGGTGTTAGAGCCTCTTACCTAGCATCATCTCCCTACAAGGGAGGAGACAATTCCATCCTTCGTGAGAGAGAGAGGAAGAGAGTGATAAACACCAGTCTTAAGAACTGTGGTTCCCAACCATGGGTCCCCGGATGTTCCTGGACTACAACTCCCAGAAGCCTTCACCCCTCGCTGTGCTGGCCAGGATTTCGGGGAGTTGTAGCCCAAGACTATCATATTTCCCCCAGCACTTAAGGAATCTCTAGTCCTCTGTTCTCTGTAATGTATAGTTTGCCCCTCAAGGAACTGGTCCGGCTACTCTAATATTAACTATTCTGACAGCTAGCAAGTCTCCAAGGTTTCAGGAGGAAGTTTTTATTGCACTGCATGAAGATCTTATCTTAGAACTACAGAGCGGGAAGGGTCCCTATGGACCATCATCGAGTCCAGACCCTGCCAAGGAGGCCCCCGTCGGGAATCAAACTCTCAGCCCCTGGCTCCACAACGCTGGATCCCCCGGGCGATCCAAGATGCAAGTGCGGACTTGAACTGGGCCTTTCTCTCTCTTTTTAATGTGGAAAGCAAGTATTTGGCCATTGGGAACAAGGTTTTAAGGAGGTTTCAAAATTCTGCCAGGTTTGCATGGGAATCTTACACGTACAAGAGCTGGAAAAGACGGAGAGAAAAGTACAGGAACACACCCACGTGAGGTTTACTTACTCTTCCAGGAAGATTTCCACAAATTTCCCAAACCTGCTGGAGTTGTCGTTCCGCACGGTCTTGGCATTCCCGAAGGATTCCAGCAGAGGAGTTGCTTCGAGAATCTGATTTGACCAAATGGAAACAACAACCGGTGACGGAACGAGGACACGCGCTCCACCGGGCGTCAGTGACGAGGAGTATTATAAGAGAAAGATCACCAGAATGCCACGGCCAGCATGAGATTCTGAAAGCTTTGACCCAAAAAGGGCCTCTCCCAAGCTTTGAGGAAGACACAGCAACGAAGAAGCATGCAAATCTCGGAGGAAAGGGGTGCAAAGAACCAGGAAGCGAGTCAACCCAGAGGCTGCATCGAAGGCACAAGGAGACTGTCCGTTTCAGGGGCTCACCTGGTTGAAGGTGAGTCAGATGAGCAAACCTTTAGGAGCTCAAAGAAAGAAGTATCTTTGCTGGTGGGAAATGCAGAACTCCAAGGGAAAGGCATGTGGCAACACAAGACCACTTAGGTGGAAACACGCAGAGACCAGACTGAGGACCCTGCGGCTTTCCAGGGGTGGTCAAGACTCAAAACTCCCATAAGCTCCCACCACCTCAGCTGCTGGACAAGGGATTCTGGGAACGGTGATCCAAAGGAACAATTTGTCCCTTCCTAGGGATGTTGTGTCATCTTCCAGGGTTCTGGCATAACAATATCTAGAGATCTAGCAGAACGGTGCAACCAGCAGGCTAATTTCTCTGCAGTTTAGTCCCTTCCTGGTCTCATCATCCTCTTAGAACAGCAGAGCTGGAAGGGACCCTGGGGATCATTGAGTCCAACCCCTATGAAAGAGGCACAGCGGGGAATCGAACCCCCAACCTCTGGCTCCACAGTCTCAGAGACGTCAACCCCTGAGCTATCCGACAATCACACACACCACTTCATCACACAACACACAAGACCGGCTCACAATGGCTCCATACCTCTATCTATGAGGGCATGACAGGAGGAGAAGCAGAGGGATGCAAGGGGGCAAAGTTGAGTCTGGCATTCGAGATGGGGAAGCAATGAACTAGGGTTCAACACGATGGACCCCCTCAGCCCCGTCACTCTGACCTCGCCCACTACATGACCTCGACCGAGAGTCCTCCGGGAGCGGCTGGATCCAGGTCTTAGCTGGCCTGGGTCTTCGCAAGCCAGAGGCTTTCCGTTCTAATGATGTACCTGCTGGGTTGCAGTGTGCTTCTGGTTGATCGCTGCCAGGTAACGGAGGATCAGCTTGGTTGCTTCCGTTTTGCCTGAGCCACTTTCACCACTAGAAGAAACCAAAGGAGGGGGATTTTAGGGGGAGAAGAAAGTAAATTTGAGGCTTTGGGGGCACCATGGCTCCTTGAATCTACTGCAGAGTTTCTGAATTTCTGAGAAAATCTCTTTTTGCTGCAAAGTAGATCCATAGAGAGGAATAACTGGAAGTTCTTCAGAGAGTCCACTCCTTTTTCACTAACTGGTACTGAAAGCCTCAATAACTACCTCTGAAACATTTGTAGGAGAAAGAATAAAAAAACAGTCTTTACTTACAGATACGAACAGATCAACAGCAAACAAAACCACCGGCTGCGACAAACAAAAACCAAGGGAAAGAGCACAGAGCAGAGAGGCGGGGCTCTCTTTAGAGTCAGAGGTGGGAAGGAATGATTGGTTCATGCTGGATAGATTGACAGTCACTCCAGCCCAGAAAGGAGTGAGTGCTACAAGCCAGCTTGCAAGGTTGTAAAGATGCCAACAGAACTGATAGAGTCATCAGTAGAAATCAGTAGTGGCTGAGATATCCAGTTCACCTCCTCCTCCTTTTTTTTTTTTGCTTTGTTTTGGGGATCTCGGAATGTTTTTGTGGGAGCCTGGTGGACTGACGGAAAGCATGAAACTTCTTTCAGAAGAGCCAGTGAGTAGGAAGCCCGTTGCCGCTGGGAAAATAAAAGGCACCAAACTCTCACCTGATTATAATACACTGGTTGAGTTTGGCATCTCTCAGCTTGCTGTGCGCAATGTTGGCAATGGCGAAAAGGTGCCTACAAAAAGCAGAAAAATATTATTATTTTTTAAAAGACTTTTTATGCTTCCTTTACTATAGGATGCAAACGAGGTGCGGTTGCTCTAGCACACCAGAAGCAACAGAAGAACCCCACGTTTTCGGACACCGAGGTGCACCGAAGAAAACAGCGGATTGAAAGACATCCTCTTTGTTAACTAACAAATATCGGGAATAGACTCCAGAAAGACCTGGTGTCCTGCCAAGCTTGACCGAAAGCATGGGAAATGATTTTTTAATTTTTAAAAAAAAAATTGAAAAATTTTTTTTACCAGGACTTCCAGAATCTTCTGGCTAAATGAGCTTGGAGATTCTGGGACATTTTGGACCCAAATCCAACTTTTCCAGAGACTTACGGTGGGTTCTCTCCCAGGGCTTTTCCCTCGTACTGCAGCACATGATCGGTCCCATAAATGTTGTACATTTGGTAGGGGTTCACAGAGACTAAGATGCTGCCTATGTAGGTCTGAGGGGTGAATAGGGGGGGAAAAGAGAGAGGAAGAAAATAACTTTGAGGAGAGAGAAATAAGCAACACGTGTGTCTTCTACACTGTACGTAGAGAGGATGTTTGACCCTAGCCACCAGTTAAGTAGAGTTCTTCCCACTGGCAGTTACTCGGGAATAAACACCCGATTCACTCCGTGCTGCAGGCTGGCTTCTATTGATTTGTAGCTCTTGTACTTTGCCTACACCAGTTGCAAAAGCCAGAGGCCAAAACCTGCTGGAGGTGTAATGGATAGATTATAAGTCCTTCAGGACCCTTTCTTTCACTGGGCGCTTTTCTTCCAGAACATTCGTTTGTAAGTTCTGGGGGGAGAGAAAACAAGGACTGGACAAAAGCCAACATTGAGCGACTTACATAGATGAGCCCCCGCTCAAATCTCCTTTTGATGTTGTGAAGAACCACTCTTTCCTGGAGTTCCCTGCAAGGTGTGGAAAACAGGTATGTAAGGGTTTTTTTTAACCTTCCTCCTAATGTGCTTTTCCATTGTTTTGCCAGAAGTATTACCCTCTGCAGGATTTTTTTAAAAAAAATACATTTGTATTTTGCGGTGCTTGTCAATTTCTTAGGTTCTGAGGCTGGTCAGTTTCAAAAAGGTGTCAGGTGCCTGAAATTGACAAGCATGGCTGATGAATAAAGGGAAAAGTAACCCACTCTGACGCAGGGCGTCAGGATTTCCGTGTGCCCTAATCTCGTAGGAAGAAAAGGAGGGCATTTGGCTGGCCTGGAAATCCCATGGGATGAAAAAAGGGCAGACAATCCTGTAGAAAATTGTGGGACTGAGAAACATCTAGATTCATAACTTTTTTTGGTAGTTCAACATATACATTTAACATATGGAAGGTGTCAAAGTGGAGAACGCTTTTGGTGAGAGATTTTGAGCATTCACAATTGTCTAAGATTGTCCACACTTGCAGTATAGCTGGTGTTGAGTGTTTAGGGACAGTGAGCCTGCACCAGATTTTAGTCCGAACCTTACTTGAGTTGTCCATGGTGGTGAATCTTATCTCCAAAACAGGTTCAGCTCCTGGGAGAGCTTCTTTACAGTTCAAACGAAAACCCAGAACAGATTCACAATTCCCTCCCCCCCCAACAGTCAGGTTTGACCGTCCTCCTGGACGTGCAGGGGTCACTTACTCCAGCTGGGTCATGTCTTCCACACCATCTTCTGGCTGCCCCGGGTGGGTCAAGTTATGGATGGATTGCATCTCAATTTGTGGGAAACAAGAGAGGAGAAATTAGTACATGCTCAGAAGTCTTTGCCACAACACAGGCTATTAGACTTGAACTCCCAGGGGAAAGTGGCAAAAACATGGAACAATCGGATGGACCCTAAAGAGTAACAACCAACAACCTGAACTCCACTGAAGCTTCTTCCGCAGTAAACTTGTGGTGTCACAACAAGTCAAATTAAGGCTATAACATGAATAAATGAAGGCTTCACACGATACATTTCTTATGAAATCAGTTCTCAAAGGCAGCTTGTACATAAGATAACATCACATTGACCAGGTTCATACATAACGGTAACGATAAACTAAGATTCCTGGTTTATTACACAACAATCTGAAATGTGATCTCTGGCAGAGATTCCATTGTGATGAATGGGAGGTGAATTCACAACTTCTGCCTTAGCAAAATGTGCCAAGCCAGGCATTTCAAGTCTCTTTGCTAGCTTCAAATCGAATGCCACATGGATAAGACTGCAGCCTTTGAACCCTCTGGATCTACGACAACAGCCATGTCCTGTTGAATTTCTGTCTGCTACATGGGGTTGTGAGGCACTGCCTACAGTGCTGTAGCAGAGTTCTTGAAAACTGAAGAGTGTTAATTATCTTTTAAACCCACCCTTTGGCCAGCTGCTCAGGGAGGCATCCACCTCTCCCTCCCACTTTGTTTTGACCTTGCACAACAACCCTGTAGGCTGGCTGATTTAAGAAAGCAACCACTCCGCTCCTCGGTTTCCCCTTGTCCGAGTATGCATTTTAACTGCTACTTGTTGACTTGCTAGTTCTATTTCTTCTAATGAGCTCCAGGTAACATCAACAGCTCTCCTCTCTCTTTCGTCTTTATCCTTGCTACCACAACCCTGTAAGGTAGGCCAGTCTTAAAGTTACGCAGCAGCTTTCAAGGCTCAGCGGGGGCTGGAACCAACATTTCCCAGCCATCAGTTTTTAGACTCCAACCCCACCACTGCCCCACCAGCTCTGAATAAACTTCCCCATTCCTTCCTTCTTGGAAAGCATCACGCCTTCATGCGCCATGGAGTGATTTGAATCCAGGAAAGCGGTAAGCCAATACCCGTCCACAGAGAACCAGCTATTCATACGCACACCGGGCTGGGCTTTGAATGCCGATCCACTCCGGCCAGCTCTGTTCAAGGCAGCGGGAGTCATCTAGGCTCTAATTAATACTCTCCTCCTGTTCCCAGCCCGTCTTGATGTCAGAGATCAAGTCCCTGAATTTACATACAGTTCCTTTGTCATGCACAACGAGCACCATGCGTCTGTCGTAGACCCGCCGTGTTCTGTTTCTCTCAGTGTAGGTGTTCTGCGATACGAATCCCGACCCCATTCTCCCAGTACTAAAACTCACACAACCAGCATGGTAGCAAAGGGAGATATTGGCAGGCTTGAGTGTGTCAGGGTGTGTGGGTTTTGCATGACAAGAAGCACATCCACAACATGTAGAATTTCCTCTCTATCCCTATTTTTTTTTGGGGGGGGGAATGCTCTCTGATGGCCTGCAGCCTCCATTAAAAGATGACCATCAAAAATCTTAAGTGGGGTAGATCTTGGCCATGTTGATTTGTCGTAAGCCTCACTCAGACCTCGGGAAGCTGCCTTTAGGAAAAAAAACTGATTATGTAACTCATTCCAACTCCGCTAGAAGGAATCCATTACTGTTACATTGTTTGATACTTTTTCTTTTAAAAAATAGGAGACAGGAACAAATTGGAATAATGCTGGCCAAAACACTTCTAAAAGTGCCCCCAAATGTCCTTTTAAAAAGTAGCTTTTAAAGTAATTGGTAAATATAAGTACAGTAGTTACATAATGAGTGGCTGATAGACCTCTTGCCCAAAGCTTGAGCTGCCCTTAGATTACACCCCCCCTTACTACTGTTCTTCTCACTCACAATGTTATGATAACAATGCAATGTAGTTCACACCCTCCTTTACAAAATCAGGGTAAGGAGTTATGGCTAACCACATTATTGATAACACATTTTCTTCCCAGTCCTGATTTAGAACATGGACAGTCAGAGCTGATGGGTGAAGGTGATCCAGAAGGCCAAGAGGGATCTGGATTGAGAAAAGTTCAGCTCAAAAGAACGCCTAATGAAAATGAACCGAACGGTTCCTAATTCCACCAAAACCGAAGGGGTCCTGGGCATTTTCTCTCTGCCCCCTCCTACCCTCAAACCGAGCACAACTCCTGGAATTACCTTACACTGCCAACTCGTGTTCGTCCAATCGTATTCCTTGGTGTGCACCGACGATCCCCGTGTCAAGTACCAGAACACACTGCTTCCTCCTTTACGAGAACCTCGCCGCTTTACGCTCCTCCCTCCCTGAGGTGGCTGGAAACGCTTCTCCGAGGGCCACTCGTTTGGCATCTCCTGGTAGTAGCTGGACCAGGGTTGATTTTGCCTACTGGACGCCCTCCTCGTGGAGGATCCCATTCGTTGGATCTGGGGTGTCACCACGGCATACCTCCCCCTACTGTCTTCCATCTCATAGTCTAGCAATTCGCTGGGGAATTGGTAAGAGCCCGGCCTTCCCCGTCGGTTATACTGGTCTTGGAAGGGTGGAGGGGAAGCCATGCAAGGGTTCCCTCGTCCCACTGCCTGGGGCCCTCTGAACGAAGGCATCCAGGGGGACACGGGGTTGAGATGCGGCCTCCCTAAACTGCCTGGACTGCCCTCAGAAACGGAATAGGACAAGCCCCCACTGGAAACCCTGCGTCCTAATTCTGGTGACCTAGAATAGACGGCATTCCCCATATGCGTCCCCGATGGAGCGGCGGGATCCTGAGAAAAGACATGCCTGGAAAAAGATGGCGATGCTCTCGGCGACGGACCAAATGGTGCTAGGTAGGGATTCCCCTCTTCCATACTGCCTGAGAGTTTGGCATGATGGCGCCTGATGGAGGGAGGAGACGCTTGCGCCATGCCAGCCAGAGGGTGCCCGATGTGTTGAAGGAAGGCCTTGCGGGCACTGGGGGTTGGGCTTGGGGGCTGAGGGGGCAAACGGGCAACTCCTCTGACGTCCCAGCCTCGGTCCTGCTCCCATTCTGTCTCTGCCGATGGGTGGATGTCGCCGAAGGGCTGGGCATAAGGAGAGGTGCCCACGGGGGACTCCCTGATGGTGACTTTACGGCTCCCTTGGCGGGTCAACCTAGGAGAGGAGCTCCTGGATAGAACGGGAGACGGGGGGCCAAACTGCCTCATATATTGGTCCCTCATTAACGGTTTCACAGCTTTCGTTGGGGGTTCCTGCGTTCTGCTCCACCCTTGGGGAGAAAACCCTTGAGGGTCAACGTAAGGAGGGCTCATCCTTCTCGGCGGCTGGAAGGGATTGGAGACTGCGGGTGACCCTAAACGCCTGTGAGATGTTTGAGGCGAGGGAGGACCTCTCAGGGACCCCACGTTGGGATGATAGAATCCTGATCTTCCGGAGCCCCTCGTGAAATTAGCGTTCTGGAACTCAAGAGGATCAGGCTCCTGAGGGACATGAAACAAGGAGCGGCTGAAGGGGACATCACTCTTTAGGCTACTGATTGAGGTTAAGCTGGAAGATGATGGATTGCGTTGGCTTGCCAAAGAGCGACGCCCTGTCGGTTGAGGGGAAGATGGCGCCCGGGAGGAGGGACTCATAGCAGTTGGACTTCTTCCCCAAGAGGGACCAGGGTTTTCTCTGCTCAGCGATGGAACCGGTCTGCTCGACGAAGATGCGGTGGAGCCACGTGATCTTAGAGAAGAGGACGAATTCTGCCTTGGGGAAAGTTGAGGGGAAGGGGCGTGCCATTGCCAACTGTTCTCCTTCACGGCTATTTGGCTGAATTTCTTCACGGGCACCCCAAGGCCTTGTGGGATCTTTTTGTAGGAAGACGACCCTATGAAAGGAAGCGTTTGGTGCAATTCTTCCTGAAGGGCGTCTCGTAATTGCGCCGTGGGAGGAGAAGACGGGAGAGCGATATTATGTCTCCCCGGCGTGCCAAAGTGCCTCATGGATTTAGGAGAAGAAGAAGAAGCCAGGTTGTGTGCTTCAAATGGCCTGGTGTTGAGCTGAGGAGAAGACGGCCACGTGGGCTTGGTTTCTCTGTACGTCCCCCTCCTCGTTGGAGCAGGCGTGGAAGGCCCGTGGAGTCCACCGTTCCCTCGGTGCTTCAGGATGGGTTTTGGCTGGGAGAGAGATTTCTGGAGGAACTGCCCCAGAGGGCTTCCGAATTCCCTGGGAGAAAAAACAGGGTTTTTTGGGCCAGGGTTCATCCGGACATTTCTCTGGGTTGGGTTTGGAGAAATGGGTCTTTGAAGCTTGCTCACAAAACAGCCAGGCAGAAACTTGGAGAAAGTCCCTGGGGACCTGGGAGAGTCCAGGTCCTGGCCCTCATACTGGGCAAAAGGCGAAATGAGCGGTTCGGATTCCTCCTCGCCTTCGTCCTCCTCCTCCTCCTCTTCCTCAAGGGGAATGTGCGGGGAAGGAGGGAGCGTGACGTCAAGCTTATCTTTGCCAAAGAGCTTCACTTGAGGCCTGGGGAAAAGGCGGAACGTCCGGTTCTGAGACAGCCTTGAAGGCAAATCTTCTCCCACACCAGGCTGGCCAAAGAAGAAAGAGCGAGAGGTCGCCACGGGAGGGTAGCCTGGCTCTTCCTCGGCCCCTTCGGTTTCATCCGTCTCCACAATGTCAGCCAACGGCGATGCGTAAGGATTGTACGCTGACTGGGTCTCAGGAACCCATTCGTGCTCGCTGTAGCTGACTTCATGCTGAGCATAGGCGTTGTTGTCGTCAGGATACGCCTCCTCCTCCACCGCTTCGTAGACAGAGCCATGCGCTCCTGGGGGCGCCTCGTACTCGTTTCCAAAGCCGTTGTAAGCTTCGTAGGGCGAATAACCAGCAACGGCTTCAAAACCTTGGTCATCATAATGGCGGCCGTCATACTGGTCTTGATCGTAGTAGTCCACCGGTTCTACCTCAGGCCCGTACCCTTCATCTAATGGACTCCCTGTATAGCCCTCATCTCCATTAGGATAGCCATACTGCGAAGAGGACCGGGGGCTGTAATAATCATCCTCTCGAAAGTCATGGTAGCTCTCAAGGGGCGTGGAATCCAAGTTGTCCCAGTAGCCAAACTCTTCCTGGGTCTTGTCATAGAGAGCGTCCCTCTCCGGGGTCTGCCTCATCTTGGCTCGGTGCCTCAGAACTTCGTCTCCTGAGGGGAAGGGAAGCTTCTTGGCCCCGATCCTCGACAGCCAGGATTCGTCCATCACCCGCGGGTTGTATCCGGACCTCCGGCGTTTGGACAGAAACCTCCGGGTCAGCCAGTTGGTGGCGGCGGCCACTTTGCTGACGATCTGGGCCCGGGGCTTGAAGTTTCCTTCCGGCTTGCTCTTCCTCCGGAAAAGGCCGCCGAAGAATCCGCCCCCCTTTTCCTTCTTCTCCGCCGCTTTCCCGCCACCCAGCCGGATCAGGACGTAGGACGGCTTCTTGGCGGCCCCTTCTTTCTTCTCCTTCTTCTTCTTCTTCCCCATCTCCTTGAAGCGCATCATGAGGTTGGAGGTGGACTTGAGGACTCCCCGGTTCTTCTTCTTCTTCTTCTTCCTCTGGGTGCTGTGCTTGTTGAGCCCCCAGAAGAACCGGGAGGTGTTCTTGAACTGGCTTTTCTTGGGGCTCTTCTTTGGAGCCATCCCTTTGAAGCCCATGAAAAGCTTGGACGTGCTCTTCAGGCTGCGCTGCTTCTTGGGCGGCGCGGACGGCTCCTTCTTGGCCATGGCCATGGCCTTGCTGGCCCCCTTCAGCTGGGCCTTGGCCTGCTCCTTCTTGGCCCCTTTCTTCTTCTTCTTGGCATCTTCGGTGGCCAGGCCCATGACGAGCTTGGAGGCCCCTTTCATCGGCTTCTTCTTCTTCTTCCCCGAGGCGTCTTCCTCTTCCTCCGGCTCTTTCTTCCCTTTGTCTCCTTTCTTGACCCCCTTGGCTGCTGCCTTCTTGTCCCTCCCTTTCTTCTTCTTCGGATCCTCCTCGCTTTCTTCCTCCTCCTCCTCCTCCTCCACCATCTCGCTGCCCAGCTCGCTTTCCTCGGTGTTGGTCACCTCGGCGTCGGTGATCTCTTCCGAGTCGCTGACGGCCTCTTTCTTGGTCTTCTTGGCCTCCTTGCCTTTCCCTCCTTTCCCTTCCTCTTTCCCTTTCTTAGCCATTTTCTCCAGGGTGGCGGGCTCTCATGCTCTGCTCGGTCTCTGCTGCTTGGTCACGCCATTTTGCCCTCAAGCAAACATGGACAGGAAAGTCCGTGAAGGAGGAAAGGAAGGGGTCCTTCCCACAAGCGAGGATTCAGGGCAACAACCCCATGTGGCCTCTTCCAGTTGGGAAACCAACCCTCAAGGTCTTTGTCGAAGGGGCAACCGTTCTTCCACGTTCATGGCTCCCCTCCTGGCGACCAGCCTGATAATGACGGAGACAGAAAAGAGTCCTTTTCTTTACCTTTTGGACAGGTTAGGCCAGTCCCCCATGTGCTTCCTCTTTAATTCCACCGACATGTCTCTGACCTGATTAATCTGTCCAAGCAGGTTACGAACTAAGGCAGGATCCGTCCATCGCCGTCGTTGCTTCTGACGTACATCCTGGAGAATTGTCCCCCTCTCCTTGCGACCCTGAGCAAATTTCTTGCCATCGGCGGCAGCTTTCTTGAACGGTTCCTCTCCGGTAGCGTGCTTTCTGCTGGGTGCCGGGAGTGGAGAAGTCAAAGTATAGCCGCTGACGGGGAGGACAGAATGTAACCATATCTCCTAGGTTCACTGCCATATGAATAATGTAAGTGGGCTGCTCTGTCCCCACATGGAGGACACTTCCACCGGAGAAGGGAAGCTTTTCGAGGAAGCTGAAGAAAGAGGGCCTCCGACCCTTCAACGAAAGGGTTTCAGAGACGGGTTGCAGAGGAAGGCAGCTGAAGACTTTTGGACGAGGTTTGATTTCATAGTCTGTGGCTTGAACAAAGACAGGGGCTTTTTAATTGCACTACTTGTATGTAGTCACCCAGCTCCACTGTCCAGGTCTGTATGTACGTCTGCTCTACCGTGGATACCATGTATTATTTTCCCCCCAACAAGGTTGTGAAACAAAGCTAGCCTCTTTTGCTATCAGTTGAAATGGATACTCTCTTCAAAATAGAAACCATTGGTTTATCATCTTGAAGCGTAATTGACTAGGGTAACTGATTTACCATCCGGTAGGATAATAATCTTAGAACGGCAGAGCTGGAAGGGACCCTATGAATCATCAGGTCCAGACCCTGTCAAGGAGGCCCCGTGGGGCAATCGAACTCCCAGCCCCTGGCTCCACAACCAGAGACTTCAACTGCAGATGCTTAGGTTAACCAGCCCCTTGAATGTCCCTGGCCAGTGTGGATAACACAGATGGCATTTCCTGCTTATAAACCCATGGCTTAAACACTGGCCCTTCGTGCATTTAAAGAAACCTTAATTCATGAAGGCTTATGCCGGGTCCAACTTGTTCATCTTCCAGGTACCACAAGACTCTTTGTAGGCTTTCCTGAAACAAACCTGATGGGAAATACTCCCCTCCTGAACCAGGCCCTTTTCACGTCTCCGGCCCACCAGCCTCCGGTGAACAGGCAACCACCAGCTTCGAAGGGCTGCAGAAGGACAATGATGGCATCGTCTGATGGGAGGACCCGTTCCTCCTTTTGAGGGTATCCTCCAAATGGAAAGTCAGGGACTAGGAGGAAGGTGAGCAGGGGCCTTGGAAGCCACTCATCATCCACAAGGAGACGCCCCCTGTACAGTAGACGGCACACAGGTTGCCTGATCAACGCCCGCCTGGGTTGCAAATCCACTTGTTTAAATCAGACCTGACTCTCCATCTGTACATATCAATCAGTCCATGGAACTCGGTGCTAAGCCCAGTTCTCTCTGTGTCGTCTTTGGATGACGTGTGAGTGGCCACCCAATGGGAGAAGCTTGGCCTTCCAGAAAGAGTTTGGACCCTGGGGCCCAGAAGGGCCATCCAGATGCCAGGGGCGGTGGCTGATGCAGTTCAAAACATCTGGAGGGCCAGGCCTTTCCTTCTCCCCAACGTAGAGAAGAATGGGTTGGAGGGCTAGCTAGACCCACGGCTGGCCTAGCCCAGGCTCGGCCCCCTGGCTTAAATGGTGGCCTGGAGTGACCAGGAGCAGGACCCTTGAAGTCAGGCAGACTAGAGAGGTCAAAGACCCTGAGCCAGGCAGGCAGGCGGGAAGGAAGGAAGGAAGGAAGGAAGGAAAAGAGAGAGGGGGAAGGAAGGAAGGAAGGAAGGAAGGAAGGAAAAATAATGGAATGGATGGATGGATGGATGGATGGATGGATGGATGGATGGATGGATGGATGGATGGATGGAAGGAAGGAAGGAAGGAAGGAAGGAAGGAAGGAAAAATAATGGAATGGATGGAAGGAAGGAAGGAAGAAGGAAGGAAGGAAGGAAGGAAGGAGTAGGTGATGGATGGAAGGGAGGGAGGGACTGCAGCCTTACAACATCAGCAGTTCCAAAGGATAACACTGTCTATGTAATCAAAACACAAAAACGGACATTTTCTGGTTCCTTGAAGACTAACAAATTCATTTCATTGAGCTTTTGCGAACTATGGTCTCCTTCTCCAGACACACCATCCATCTGAAGAACAGGTCTGAAGAAACAGAAGGCAACTCAGCGAAGTCCACAAGGAAATAAATGTCTCTCCACCTTACAGGTGCCACAAGAATTGGGTTTCTGTTTTTGCTGGCACTGGTGCATGCAAGTGCTCGCCGGACGAGTCTCTCAGGTGACACCTTATCTCCTCCTCCGAACACCTCAGGAGACATTTTAGAACCGCAAAACCTCTGGGGAGGAGACCAAGAAGGACTTGCTCCAGCTACGTGACAAAATGAAGGACGGAGCTCACCGCTGTGTGTGCTACAGTCACAGAAGGAGAGCGGGTGCCTCTTTTTGGGGTCATAAACTGGCTTCCAGGCATAATTCATTGCCCAGCCCCCATTTGGAACAGAAAATAAGGAACAACAGATCTACAGACAGACAAAAGCATGCCTGGATGTTAAAACGGACAGCAAATAAACTCCACAGATTGCAGTTTTTACAGGGCTGCCATATAGCTGTTCTGAATGCCCTCCCACCCCTTCCAGTTTCCTAGAAACCAGACCAGTTTCCTGCACCCTCTTGCTCACGTCAAAGTATTGCTCCTGTCTCAGAAGTGCTTTGGGGATGCCTTGTTAAAATATTGCTAAGGTGGAGGGCCAACTAGAGTAAGGGTGTCAGCTGTTCGATCCTGTTTGGCAAAATTTCAGGGCTGGCCAGGAGTGGTTTTACCCAATATCTTAGATTTTGGCACATCCTGAGAAGGTAGGATTTTCTGGAAAAAACAATAGCGCTGGGAAAGTTGGAAGGCAGCTGGAAACAAGGAAGACGAAATGTATGATGGACTTTCTCCCTAAAGGAAGCCACAGGCTCAGAGTCTACCAGACCGGAGGAGAGCAGTGGAGATCACTAGAATTGCTAGGAGTCAGGGGTGGTTTGACAGCCCGTAACAACACTTTTTTTTTTTTGGATTAACTTCAGTTCTAATAGGAGCTACATACAGTCCCGAAAGATCTACAAGAAACCTTTTAACCCCCTTTTGCACAAAGCATCTTAGTCAGAAGAAATGCCCATCCTAATTTTCAGACGTCTGAAGACCATGGAAACATACTTGAGGGGTGGGAATCTTCGTTTTCTAACAGCAGTAATCCTGCAGACAAGTTGATCTTGATTTACAAGAAGCGTTTCTCAGTCTAGAGCACTCGGAAGTGTTTTTCCCCCTTCCCTTCTTCTGGGGTTGCCCCAGACCCGCCATGCAGCTTGCCCACAGCTACCCAGGCTGGCCCTTCTCCCTGGGGGCACAGTGAGGGAACCGAACTCCCAGCCGGTATGGCTTTGCAGCCAGGCGTTGACCCAACCCACTGGAGGATCCGTCCAGCTGTTAGTGAGCGAGTGGATATTTTCTGGCGGGCAAAGATCCTGGATGGGTCTGGCTGACGTGCCCGAGATAAAGGGAAAACACAGTCTGTGTGTAATTTCCAGAGACGACTGGGCATGCGAAATACATTATTTACAAATGTCCCTTAAAAAAACCATGGGCGAAGGCGGCTGTCATCAGGCGAAGGTGCAAGAGGCGTTGGCCTGCCCAGCAGATCAACCAGATGGGTAAACAAGGGGTGACATCTAGTGTCTGCAAAATGCACTTCTTAGCAGCCCATAACGCAGTCTCCCCAGGAAGAAGATCTATCTATTGGTGTTGATTCTCATCTCCCCTTTTATAGCCTCTCTCTCTCTAGGCTCCATGCCTACTCCATTAGAAGCAGCAGGGGCCTTTCAAACCACAGAAACGGCCACCTTTTCATTGACTTAGGAACCACGAGTGAAAGACGCCCAGCCCCGAAAGGTGCGAACGCTAGGAGAGGAGGTTTTAAAAACCCTTCAGCGTTACACCTTTGCAACCTTATGTTAAAAGATCAAGTGTGCACCACTCCCTGTTTAAAAACAAAACAGGATGGAGCGATGTGTAAATCATCCAAGGTGGGATATTTGGGTCCTTTTACAAAACTGGAGGCATTCTGGAAATACGCTGGAGGATGGAAAAAAAGACCGTTAATGAATTAAGGGTAATTAAAAAGGGGGAGTTTGCACTTTTAAGGTCAGGTGCAAAAGTCTATTTGGAGGAGAAGTGGTCCAGTGGGCCACATGTTACACTAGGCACTTGGGTTCAAATCCCTACTTGGCCATGAATATTTGCTGGGGAGAGGGTGGCGCATCTCAAATGGCTTCAAAACCTCTCTTAACATCACCATGGTTCCAAAGCAACGTGGCAGCAGCTAACAAATATTCAGAAGCAGATGCCAAAATAATAAGTTCTTTACACGCCAGGGGCTTGCCCGTCTCAAGCAGTGTGAGTTTTGTGGGGCTGAATTCAAATCCGCTCCTCAGCAGCAAAATTCACCCGGTGGCTTGGCACTGGTCACACTCCCCCAGACTAAGCTGCCCCACTGTTTTCCACGCACAGTGCCTGCCCTGAGCCCGTCACGGAAAGGGTGAGACACAACCCCAAAGAATAACAGACGCTAAGGAGTTGCAAAGGCACAACATCCAAGTTCATCGTCTGGGATTCCTGACGAAG